CCCCAAGGCAAGAGGAATATGGTCAGAAAAAATTTTGGCACAGAGAAGAAAGTGAACTAATATTATTATATACGTATTACCAGCCGTTAGTGGGAGAATTCTGTCTCCTGGACAATCTGGTTTTGAGTTCTACCAGAGGCAAATTGCTTCATTTCTCTCAGACTCTTTCCTGCCGTGTATTGTGGAGATAATGACCTCCCTCTAAGGGTTTGTACAGAGAGGAAATGAGGAGCTACATGTGATGGTGTCTGGCACAGGCTCCGGAACAGCAGGTACTGACTGTGTGTGTGTGTGAAAGACAGAGCCCAGGTGATGGGCAGGCTGCACAGACCCACACTGTGGTCTGAAGTGTGACTCAAACACATTGCCTATACTTTTTAGTTTTCCTATGACTTGCTTCTCTTCCTTCAAAATGGAATGGAAGCCTGTATTTCTGACGAAGGATTTTGGAACCCCCAAATCTTACTGCGTTATAGTCTCACTGGAACAGCAAGTTCTCTTAAAACAAGTTTATTTAAAACTGTAAGACACTGCATCAAGATGAAGATATGTAAGTGTACTGTTCCTTAAAATAAAACATGAGCCCTGGCGTGCCCATATAGATGCATGTGGGAAGCTACAAAACAACAAACCTGGGAAATACTGGAATTTACCTGGTTGCCACTAGTTCCCTGAGATGTGGCATGTGAATCACATCCCAGGCTCAGGCATTCACTTCCTGGAACGCCGGGCTTGCTGTAAAGAAATCGTGCTGGAGGGGCTCCTCCCAGACGTATTCTGGAGAGTGAAGTAGCAAACAATCTCTGCACCACACGTCCTTGTTCATCGAATTTATTGTCGCACATTCAGAATACCAGATGATGACAGATTGAAAAGAAGCACCAAAAATCACTACAAAGTAATACCTGAGTGGAGACTGACCTAAGACAAATACTCATCTATCCAACCCTACACCGTAATGTGGAAACACAGATTAAAAACATTCACAAAACTCCACAGAATACAAGAAGTTGCATTTGATGAATGACAACCAGGTGATGTAATCATGTTAATTATGTACCATCCCAAAAATACACAGAAAAGTACACACGTGTATATTTATCACACCAGACATCATACAAAGCACTGGGAAAGATCATGCATGTTTCGATGGGAAGATCCGCAAATGACAGGGCAAATTCCTTTGAACTGAAGTATTGTTACTATGCACTGCATGTTCTGGATGAGATCAAAATGATCAATTTGCAAACAAGTGACTACTGAGTCTCTCTTGGCATGACACAGTTTGTCCTCTACAAACTCTTAGCTACAAAAACTGACGCAGGCTGACAGCCATGAGCTTTGTTACATACCCTTTGCCCAAACGGCGTTCAACTCAACTGAACCGTGCTGTAAGCAAAGACATGTTTCCTTTCTACATACTTTTAGAGAAACCGATGTTTATGCCTTTGGGGGGAGGGAGTGGGCATAAAATGGGAAGAACAAAATGCTTTGTATTCAAAATTAAAATGGAAAAATATACACCACAATCGGAGAGATGTGGGCATCTTTGAGCAAAGACCCTGAATGTCCTATGAATGAAATAATTTGTCTTAATAACTTATATCCATTATCTTAAATAAGCAATGTAGAAATGCCAGTTTTTACATTAAAAAAACAAAACAAAACAAAACTGGAACGAATTCTCTCAAATAATGAGGAAGGAAAAAAACAGAAAAGGGTAAAATAACATTTAAAAATACACTACATGAATCTGAGATTATTTTAATTACTGAAATAGCATTATTGGGTAAAATTATTTTATTTTACACATAAATACAAACCTCAGTAATCTGAGGAAAAATACATACAGGTCTTAGGGAAGAATCTGTCCTTGATAGAGTATTTATTTAAAAAGACAAAAAAACTACATTTAAGTTTAAGCTTTCCACGTGTAGTAAGTTCATAAGTACCACCACCTTCTCCTAAGAAATTATTTTCATAAACTTTCACCAAACATTGATTTCTATGTCTCTAAAGTGTAAGCTAATTTTAATCTGAAATGAGAACTCTAGAAATTAAGAGTGGCCTCTAGGGCAATAGTTCTGAAATACAGAGGGAAATATTCTGAAATACAAAGGGCAGCTTTTACTTTTTAAACTTTTACTTCACCAACCTCAAAGGAGAGGAGCTGGGCCCATCTGAGGAGACCACCGATAATAAAAACACAGTTACAAAACTGCAGGGCATCCCTTCATCGTTTTAAGGCACAGTCTGTTTTATCCCCAACGACTATAAGTTCAAGGTCACAGTGATAATATGCATTCCATTTTGGTTTGGTTTCTCATGGGTACGTTGCTACATTTAGTTATTCCTAAGTTTAAGAAACCATCATACAATCACTTTAAAATAATAGTTAAGTCATTTTTATATTTTTAAAAAAATGTAAATACACAGTACAATTTCCTAATGTATATACAGTAAAAAGTGGAGTTTCCCCCTCCACCGTGGAGGAAGAGAGGGTTATTTCTACCAATATCCCAACAAATACCTTTGAGTATGTGGAGAGCATGGTTATGTTAAATACAGGCATCTCTACTCAGAATAGGATTATTCAACACAAGGGACAAACTCATTCCAAAAAACAATGTTCACTTGATGTTTAGGGCCTGTACGCCATCTGTTTACTAATATCCACACAAGGTCTAAGTCCCCACTAGGTTACTAGGTTAATTCCCGCTGTCTCTTCACTGCCGAGGCTTCTTGCGTGAACGGCATCAACATTATCAGTGACATTAAACTACAGAAAACACTGCCCCATGAGGGGCTAAAATTCCCTTTGAGAATTCATATAGGGGAGAAGTTAAAGAATCTTAACCAGGTAAACATAACAGCTTTTGAGTCTGTCATATTTCTACTTTTCTCGCAAGAGTACAACACTGGCTCAATGTTAACACGTCAACATTAATGGCTTGGTTTTTAATAATATTTTCCTTTAAGATAGGCATTTTAAAATATGTATTTCGTTGCACTATGTTGGAGTCAAGTGGATAATTTTCTCCTGTGAAATATGTGACTGTAACAAAGGGACTGAATGGAAATACAAAGAAAACAAATTCTATAAACTTTCATTACATAAGTGAGAGACACCTGTACTAAAAATGATCGGCAACAGAATGTGAAGTTCTACATCACAGAATGAGTCTAAAGTAAGACTACTTCCAGCGAGTACGTCAACTCATTACTGAAAAATCATTACTGGGTAAACTAATTGTCACCCCCAATATCAGAGAGCAGTATTCCAGAAATTATATGAAACAGAACACAACTATGCTATATGCTTTAGGTATTTTCAAAAACAAATTCGCATATGGAATATAAGTTTTGAGGATTTGCATATTTAACATAAGTCCTAAATGAAAAATACAGAAAAGATCACTTTTGCTTTAATCCCAATATGCTAAGATAGTTCATTGGCACAAATATCTGGAGGTATCTTACATTTTCCTTTAGCTTTGGTGGCAAAGTGTGTTTTGCTAGCCATATGAATACAGTTATATTTTCCAATGAAGAGGTTGATGCTAAAAAAAAATTCCAATGTGTCTTTTTCTTAAAAAAGGGATGTAAAAAGCCCAATATGAAACAAAACCAGTGAAACATGAAATATAAAATATGCCTGTCATTTAGGCTTCTGAACAGTTAATAGTTAAATTCTCTGTCTATAAATCTTTTACTAGTAACATTTACTATACAAATACTAAAAACCAAGATAACATTTAAAAAAACAAACAGCATACGAACTTTGCAAAAAGGCTACTTTTAGACTTCCTAAACTAAGATTAGGATTCAAATATGCAAACAAATTTACACTCAACTAATCAAAATACAACAACAGTTTTTCTGTAAGTGTTCAAAGTTACAATGTACAGAATCAGTGCAGGAAAATCCTGACTCATATATATCAACTTCTATACAAAGTCATCAGAAATTAACTGGTTACCTGGTATTTCAAAATAGTCGTTTTCTGGAAGCATAACACGCCAAATGCTTTTAGTCAGTACTGTACTTGATTTAAAAATTTTCAGCCATTGGCAATGTAGTCAAGATGTAGCTTAGACTATCACCTAACACGTTACCAATTGGAAACACGTTACCAATTCAGGTGTAGTATTATACAGGGGTAGGCAAGAGTGGGTTTTTACAGTTGTAAGTTTGTGAAGCAGTTTACTCTTACATTATTATTTATTATAGCTCTCCATACGAACAACTGTAAGCCTACTTTTGCCCTTGCCTGTATTTATACTATGAAATAGCAGTCTATTCTATTCCGTTTTATTCCGTTCTTAGAACTAAGTTACTAATATACGACATTCAGACTTCTGTATTCATAATCTACTCTCAATAACAGTGAATTCGGGGCATTTGTAGTAACTTACTCGGAGTGCTGGCCTGGCTTTTCTCTCCTATCGTCCTTTCCTTATTAACAATGAAGAACGTGAGCAGCTCATCGACTTTCTATTGCCTTGGGTTGCTGGAGAATGATGAGCGATATGTATAAATAAGAGCTCATTAAAGAATCTGAGAGTCCTTTATTTAAAGAGACTGGCCAGATAAAGAGCTTCACAGATAAGAAAAAGCTAAAGGAGTTCATCACCACCAAACCAGTATTATATGAAATGCTGAAAGGTATCCTTTAAGAAGAGGAAGAAGAAGAAAAAGGTAAAGATACAAATTATGAACAACAAATACACATCTATCAACAAGTGAATCTAAAAATCAAGTGAATAAATAATCTGATGAACAGTATGAACTGGTGATTGTAATAGAATCAGGGACATAGAAAGGGAATGGGCTGATTATTTTTTTGGGGGGGAAAAGGGTGTGGGGGTGAGGGAAGAAATTGGACAATAATCGTGCACCTATGGATGAGGACAGTGGATGGGGAGTGAGGGCGGAGGGTGGGGTGGGAACTGGGTGGAGGGGAGTTATGGTGGGAAAAAAGAGTAACTAATGTAATAATCTGAACAATAAAGATTTTAATTGAAAAAAAAAAAAGAGACTGGGATAACATTTAGCTCGAATCATCTTAATATTCTGTAAAATCATCTTCTACATTTATTCACCAAAGTTTGGGGTCAGGGTCTATTTTCATAATTTGAAGAGGCTTTTTGTAGCTTCCTGTACCCTGGGGAGTGAGTGCCATGCTCTCCAAATTGACCCCCCCGACCCCCGGCCAAAGCTTCACAAGGCACAAATCTACAGCATGGATGAGGAAGAGTAGCCAACCAATGCCCAGTCACAGGAGGTCCCGACGCATCTAAAAAACGTTCCCAACTGGTTTTAATTTACTAAAATTGCAAATGCACTGATATGAAGTTTCTGCGCTCAACCTCACAATAAAGCAAGACATTACACTAATTTAGATGTAATAATGCCTAAGGTGAAAATATAGGCCAAGTATATTATCTGGGATTCAAGAATCAATAGCCTTAGTTTGTCTCATAATTCTTGTGTTCCCCCCATTTTCCCCAGAGCCTTTGGGAACTAAACTGCAAGTTGAGTTTCATCTCCTTTTATGTCTCTTGACCATCTTCTGTAAGAAGTGCTAAGGAGCAGTGAGGAGAAATAAACTACCCTATCAGTGGAAACTCTGAAGAGTTAAGTATAGAACTAGATAATGAACAAACCAGATGGCATGCCTCCTCTGAGCACTGTCTGTGTGAGGGATATGATAATCAATAACACTTTCTGGGCCTACTATCGCCCTTGCTTTTTCCTCACTGTACAGTCATGTAGATATCATAGTGTAGTCCAATCAAGAAAAGGTTCCCATTACATATCTAGGTTTATCTGACCAAAATAGGAAAAGATGGGTTGATACATGATTGATGAATACTGAAGAGACTGAAAAAAAAAAAAAATGATGTTAACTTGGCACAAATGATTTTTTTCTAGGACCACTATTTTAAATATTTTCTATTCTGATGAAAAAGAGTTGGCAGAACTTGTTTAATTTCTGGCATGAAAAAGATCCAGAGAAAAAGAGCTTTCATGATCTCTCTGGTGTTATCAGCTCTAGACCGTAAGAGCAGTCACGTCTGAGGAGGCTTAGCGATACAGAGTGCGGAGTGGCTTTCCTGCCCCCGTGACCAACAACAGGTCCAGTGGTGATTTTTATAAGCAAAACCTTCCTCAACACTCAGCAAGCTCCCAATAAAAAGGCTGTAACATCAGAGCCCAGAAGTCTGATGCAGTAGATGGTCCCTGACTACCAACAGACAATCTCATCTTTAGCAGCGTCACTGATGAAGCTGTGCTGCTGGGCCAGCTAAGAGCACGGGCTGCAAGCAAGACAGAAACGATGTGCAACCAACACAGGAGCCCTTTCCTTCACTCAGTGACAGACCATCAGCGCTGCGCAGCTCAGAGCTGCCTTCTCACCCCTGGTGGGCATCGGGGTTTAAAGTGCATTAAGACTTGGTGAAGACCCTGTCAAAATGTTAAAAAACAAAATAAAAAAGTGCATATATTGATGCATATCATGGCTAAAGACCAACTGCTGTTTCTAAAATGTTTAATTAGAATCCTTTTTGTTGTTCTAAAATGAAAATATCTTGTTGGAATAAATAAGACTTTAGGACTTGATAATGACATTCACATGAAAATGCTTTAGTGAGCATCAGTTGTACCTTGTCTGCCTCTTTAAAAAGCTAAGGTAGCCCGGCTGTGGTGGCTCAGTGGATTGAGCATCCATTGTCCCATGGACCATGAGGTTCTGGGTTTGATTCCTGGTCGGGGCACATGCCTGGGTGGGGGGGCTCAATCCCCAGTAGGGTGTGTGTAGGAGGCAGCCAATCAATGATTCTCTCTCATTATTGATGTTTCCATCTCTCTTGCCCTTCCTCTCTGAAATCAATAAAAATAAATTTTTTTTAAAAAGCTAATGTACTATTCACAAACAAGAAATATAAGCTTGCTACATTTTATTCATGAGCAGTACTGATTAAACAAGGAGACTCCAGATCACAAAGACCCAGTGGCTATGGCTGTCAACGGAGGATTCACATTCATGAATTCTCTAAAGTTCTTTCTGTATATAAGCCCAACTTCAAGTCCAGAAAGAGTTAAATAACACAGTTAGTCTGTAACCTGAAGTACAATTACATCCGTGAAAAAGTAAAAGATACCACGGGTATAAAAGTTGTTTATGAGAACATGTATAGCTAAACATAGGCAGATGTGTCCTTATTTAAATATATACATGGCAGGCCCTGGGACAGGTGTACAATCTACGAAACTCTTTCCTTCCTGGTGCTGAACACACATGCACTCTGTATCTATCCCTTTGGCTACTTCTCTCAGATAAGAGCCGGGCACATCCGCCCTGTTGACTCTGAGGCTAATAACACTTCCCTTTCATGGAATTCGTAAGTGCAAATATGACTGTGGAACATTAGGCATGAAGCTGAGAAAGACAACAATGGAATCGACCAAACTTGTAAGTCTCAGAAAAGACAGCAAGACCCTCGCTAACTGATGCCAAAAGAGCAAGGACCTGAGGAACCACCGGGAAGAGAAGCGGGGGACCCTGTATAGGCAGGAACATGGGGACAGCCCTCCACAGGCAGTAGCAGCTGAGAGGTGTACGGGATCCAGGTGCAATGGCAGATAGGCTGGACTCCAGGGCATTCCTGGGCTCTGAGGAGGACGCCAGCTTACGGGGGCAGCAGTGGAATCACTGAGACGTAAGGACTTGAGAGGTTGTAGGTACTTACAGCAGATACATCTAAAGGAAGGACTCTAGTGGCCAGGCATAGCTCCGCCTGAGTTTATGCTGTCTTAAGGCAAAGACACCCAGCTCCATATCCTCCTTCCTACTCTTCTGGCTGAAAGTGAGCTGCAATCTGAAGTAGAAATACTATTCTCTCATCTGTCAAATAGTAATCACCTTGGCAAATCAACATTCCACCTGTTAAATCTAGTGGCTAAAGCCTCCAACTTATTTATACATATGCTGTTAATGGGGTTAACAGTTTGTCTGTTACTCCATTATTATAATTTTATGCATCAAATGTGGTACTGCACTTGATCATGCTAACCTTCCCCCACCCCCCCACCCCCGCCAACAGTAGTCAAAAACTGTGCAAACCTGGAGTTTTTTTCTGACCACTGAAAATTAGTTATTTTAACACTCCTTCTTGACCCGAGGCACTTTGGGCAACCATGGTCAATGGTTAAACTGGTAAATAAAGTGGTATAAATTGAACAACGGACCTGCTATCCTGTCTTCATGTTAACTAAGGATAAAACTAAGATCTGCATTTTGAAAAGTCACAAGATAATCTCATTACGTCTTGCGTTTGAATTATGTGTCCATCCATCAGCGTTGCATTGGTTTCTAAGAAAACATGCCTCCTTAGAATAAAAAAGTGTATTTTCACTGATGTAAGAAAAAAAGGAAAGATCTATTTTGTTCGCCGTGGCTGCTGAAAGCTGACCAAAGACTCTTCGTGGCCACTTCATTTTTGAGGAACCACACAGCTGTGAATTTCATCCACTTTTTAAGACTTATTTCACAATAGAGTACTGTAGCAAATACGAAGTATCCCACTTCTCAGAAGAAAGTTTGATGAAATGAGCCGAATGCACCACCTTTACTGAGTGTTTAGGAGACGATCCCTACCTGCGTGGCCAGTCGGACTAGCTGATGGGCAGACAGGCCCCACAGACCGTGTCCACCTTGTCCTTTTACTAATTAAAAACCAACGACTAGGACACAGACGCCACACCACAAAACAAGCCATGCTTCCACGACGCCCTGCAAGCATTACAAAACTAATTTCCTATTTTCAACATTGTAAAAATAGATGCGTCTTCTCCAAAGGGTCTTGTCCACGCTGACGGATCTGTGCGGTCCCTCTGGCCACCGAGCCCAAAGGCAAAGGTCATACTTAGCGCTCCCCAAGTCCTGCCTCACATAAAGTTGCACAAGGCGTGGAGGGCGAGAGGGATGAAGACAAAGCAGGGGACCCTGTACAAGTGTGTGGACCCGAAAGCAATCACACCGATCGCCAGAGGAAGTGGGAACTGGGAAGTAGTCTTCAACAATTTACTGTGGAGAGAGAGAAACACACATCACATCAAGTACACTCTGAGCAAACACAAAGTATGCTGACCATCGATGCAGTTCAGAGAAAGTGTTCTAAGTGACTTGAGATGAAGCAGTTTTTCATATAGTCAATTCAACTGTCCATAATTTAAAACATGACCAATCCAAGCCATATTCTGGTTAGAAAAAGAAATATTTCCATAAAGTAAGTAACTAGTTTTGTTTCATCTTTTAAGTTTTAACAATAGAAAAATACTAGCTGAACTTCTATTCTGTGATTCTACCTCTAGAAATCTATCCTAATAACAATAATCAATAATATTTACTAAGACTCAGCTAGTGAAATATTTAACCCTACTTAAAATAGCAAAAAACCCATCAAATAAAAAAGGAACCATCCTCAATTCTTAAGAGGCGCATATAAGACAAGACACTAAATATTTTTAAAAGAAAAATACTGATAGTCCCTGATTTATGATGGTTAGGGTTACAAATTTTTGATTTGTCGATGGTGCGAAAGCAATACACATTCAACAGAAATAATAATTCGAATTTTGATCTCTTTCTGACTAGCAGTAGGTGGTAAAAAACCCTCGTGATGCTGGGCAGCAGCAGGGAGGCAAAGTTCCCAGTCTACCACCAATATTTTCTGGTGTCATATTAAGTGCATTTTCCGCTTACGATTTTTTCAATTTGTGCTAAGCTGACTTATCACGACGTAACCCCATCATGAGTCAGGGAAGCATCTGTACAAGTAGTGTCTGCTCTATCAGGAAAGACCTTTAACTTTGAAAATAGAGAAACTGAGGATAAGAGGGGTTAAAAAACTTGCCTAAGGATACGGAGCTATTTGATAGCAGAGCCAAGACTAAACCCCAGGCCCGCCTGATTCTAGAATATCTGCCAGAATCAACAAAAAAGGCTCTGAGAGCAAACAACCAGCCAATGAAAAGTCAACTTTTACTACAGAGAGTTTTAAACATACACAAGTAGACTGATGGTACAATGGACCTCATGTATCCAGTTTCAACAATTATCAAGTCATGGCCAAAGTTACTGTACCTACATTACTATCCACTTCAATTTCTATATTTTTTGGAAACAAATCTTAGACATCATATCTTTTAAGGGTTAACTTTTTAAAGAAAAAACATTATTATATCCTAATAAGTAAAACCCATAATTAAGAAAACAAATATACTTTCATATAAACTATATTTATATTTATACCATAATTACTATTATAGTTTTCCCTGTAGAAATAGTCAAAGTATTAGGAAGAGCATGCTTCAGACTTTATAAAAGAAAGGGTGATGAAGCCAGGAATAGATATGAGAAAAAGAAAGATTAAACAACCATACCTTGATTTTATTGAAACATTGTAAGTATTTCCAAGAATGGCCATAGTTGGAATAAGGATAAATGCCAAAGGTTTACATGGATCAGGATTAAGTTTAAAGTAATACCTATATAAAAGAGAAAAAAAATAAAACATAAATCAACAAGGCACACCTTATCATCTCACATGATCAGAATCAATCAACTTCAAAATTTCAAAATATTACAGTAACAATAGAGGCACAAGAGTGCTCTAAGCAGCTCATGAAATCTTTGATAAATTATTTTTGCTCTAGATCATCCTTATACCCAAGTTTTATATGGAGAATTATGTTCAGAAACTACTACAGGGGAAAAAATATTCACCATGAACGCACTTCCTTTTTATAAGTATATGCCTGAAAATTCATATAAAAGTTTTATAGGAGGAAAAACCAAGATGGCGGCATAGGTAAACACAGGAAATTGCTGCCTCCCACAACCACTTCAAAAATACAACTAAAAGACAAAACGGACATCATCCAGAACCATAGGAAGGCTGGCTGAGTGGAAATTCTACAACTAGAAGGAAAGAGAAAAGCACACTGAGACTCAGAGGAGGTGCGAAAGTAAAGTGCAGAGATACGGAGGCACACGTGGAAAGGGCTGGCAGCTGAGGACGTGGCTGTCCTTTTCAATCGGGAGGGAGACACAAGCTCCCGACTGCTCTGAACTCCAGTTCTGGGTGAGTCTCTGGGGACCCAGACTCATATGGGGAGAAACTGGACTGTCTGGCATGGGTTGGAAACTCAAGGGCGGCTTTCTCTCAGAGGTACTTGCAGCAATTACTGCGGGACACTGAGACGCGGGGCCCCTTAGGGCAGGGCTGAGGATCAGCCATAGCTGCTTGCTCCGCCTTGTTGATCCCCTGAGACCCTGCCCCACCCCAAGCTGTGCTCAGAGGCTTTTGCATATGAATGGCCTGGCCCTTTGCAATCTGAAAATTACCTAACAAACTGCAGCTGGGTCAGAGAGACCCAGAACTTCCAAAAGAAGGCCCAAGGCCCCACAGCAGCTTGCATTGCTTCACAGCTGGGCTCCTGCTGGGCAACCTCAGATAGAGGTTAAATTAGCACCTCCTTAGAGATCCAAGAGCCAGTGTACCCAGTGGTCAGAGTGGGACCATCCAGATTACAACTCCTCAGATCCATAAGGGACACACTCAGGGGGCACACTCAGTGAGCACCAAAGCCCCACTGAAGCAAGTCTTGCCCCAGAAGGGTGTCTCCAGCACAGAAGTTCTCCCACTGCAGACACAGCTGATTCTCACAGCCAATTGGCCTGAAGGTCAATTCCTCCCAGTGATACCTACAACAATCAAGGCTTAACTACAACAAGACAGTGCACAAAGCCCACAAAGGGGTGCACCAAGAGTGTCTATCTCAGGTAATTGGGGAAGCTGAGCCACTTGGGCCCTATAGGACACCTAGCACAGAAAGCCACTCTATCAACACAGGGAAGCATAAAAAATGCGGAGACAAAGAAACAGGTCACAAATGACAGAAATGGAAGAAAGCAAACTACTGGATATAGAGTTCAAAATCACACTTATAAGGTTTTTCAAGAATTTTCTAGAAACCGTCGATAAATTTAGTGAGACCCTCAAGAAATCTAGTGAGACCCTTGAGGTTATGAAAAAGGACCAACTAGAAATTAAGCGCACACTGACTGAAATAAAGAATATTATACAGAATTCCAACAGGAGACTAGAGGATCACAAGAATCAAGTCAAAGATTTGAAATACAAAGAAGCAAAAAACACCCAACCGGAAAAACAAAAAGAAAAAAGAATCCAAAAATATGAAGATAGTGTAAGGAGACTTTGGGACAACTTCAAACGTACCAACATCCAAATTATGGGGGTGCCAGAACAAGAGAGAGAGCAAGATATTGAAAACCTATTTGAAGAAATAATGACAGAAAACTTCCCCTACCTGGTGAAAGAAATAGACTTCCAAGTCCAGGAAGCACAGAGAACCCCAAACAAAAGGAACCCAAAGAGGACCACACCAAGACACATCATAATTAAAATGCCAAGAGCAATAGACAAAGAGAGAATCTTAAAAGCAGCAAGAGAAAAAAAGTCAGTTACCTACAAGGGAGTACCCAGACTGGCAGCTGATTTCTCAACAGAAACTATGCAGGCCAGAAGGGAGTGGCAAGAAATATTCAAAGTGATGAATAGCAAGAACCTACAACCAAGATTTCTTTACCCAGCAAAGCTATCATTCAGAATTGAAGGTCAGATAAAGAGTTTCACAGATAAGGAAAAGCTAAAGGAATTCATCACCACCAAACCAGTATTATATGAAATGCTGAAAGGTATCCTTTAAGAAGAGGAAGAGGAAGAGGAAGAAAAAGGTAAAGATACAAATTATGAACAACAAATACACATCTATCAACAAGTGAATCTAAAAATCAAGTGAATAAATAATCTGATGAACAGAATAAACTGGTGATTATAATAGAATCAGGGGCATAGAAAGGGAGTGGACTGACTATTCTTGGGGGGGAAAGGGGTGTGGGGGTGCGGGAAGAGACTGGACAAAAATCGTGCACCTATGGATGAGGACAGTTGGGGGGCGGGTAAGGGCAGAGGGTGGGGTGGGAACAGGGTGGAGGGGAGCTATGGGGGGAAAAAGAGAGGAACAACTGTAATAATCTGAACAATAAAGATTTAATTTAAAAAAATTAAAAAAATAGAAATTAAAAAAATTCAAAGAAAAAAGAAATAAAAATTTTATAAAACAAATTACTGAAAATTTATTAAGGCTGCTCTATTAAAAAGATGAAATAAAGGTTTACATAAAGTAATTGTTCCTTATCTTTTTAAAATTCAAATTCTCATCTCTTGCATTTATTCACAGTGAAATATCTGTAGCCTTCCCGAATCATAAATTTGTGCTCCTTCAATAACTCTCCCCAAACATGTGAACAAAAATCTGATCTTTGACTAAAAGGATGGACAAAGGAAGGAGGTTAACATCTGGTAACCTGTAATTTAATTTATCACACTTATTTTGGTTCTATCAATTAAAAAACAGTATTTCCAGTATTTAGATAAATCTAAAAGTTTTATATAATTTCTGAAAACTATATTGAATAGAGGTTCAATTATTACTTAGATCGGTAGCCTATTTTTTTTGAAACAATTTATCAATAACGAAATATTCTAGAAATATCTTAGAGGACATTTCAGATTCTTACTGACTTAGGACACTTATCAAGGTAGCAAAGCAAATGATGGTTTTCATTAGTAAGATAGCTGATCATTAATTCAGTTCAATGTTTGGACCACGTTAGAAAAATACACACTTCTTTCATTATTTCTAAATGTTTTTAAATGGAAGGATTTTTCTTCCCCCCAAATTTAAGAAAACATAAAACTGACCATGAATTGAAAAATACAGAGTACTAGCATGACGAATACCTAAAGCAACAAAGTAAAGCGTATTTTCACATGCCTAGATCAGAGAAGGTGAAAGGTGACCATGTCCTTTTTGGGGACAGGCTGTGGGGAGGTTTATGTCCCCAAAGTTTCTGTCCTCACGGAAAGGAGGACATGTGACTGTGCTGAACCTGCGTTCCAGGGGCCCGACAGCCTCCACTCCTGCGGGCCAGGTATGCCTGAGCCCATCCGTGTGGTTCGTAAGTAGCACATACCGCAGGTTCTTGAACCAGTAGATGAGCGAGGGCGCGCAGAGCAGCACCACCCAGGCCAGCAGGGTGGCCACGGTGCTGTGCATGCGCAGGCTGTCCTCGGCCTCGCTGGCCGACAGGCGGGGCGGGTGGGCCGCCGCGTCCTTGTGCTGACTGCACCTCTTGTCACTCCTCCGCGAGTGTTTCGGATTCTGGAAAGCAATCAGGGAAAACCATCAAGGTGTTCGGTACAACGGAAGCTTACTTTATGTAGAATCCTGCTCAACTCCTTCACAGCTAAGTAAATGGATGCCTCTGTCTGTCACCCAATGGATATCAAATACTGAAATTACCTCGTTGTAAAGAGGTCATCAGTTATGAAACTTTTATTCCTTTGCTCTGCCATTTCCACTGTTGAGAATATATTTTCTAAGTCATTACTTCAAATAAAATTTAAAATATAGTTTGTAATAACAAAAATGATAAATACTGATACATTAAACTTAGACAATCCAAGTCTATTTTAATATTCACTAGGTTCACTTTTTTAAAAAAAATATTTTTATTGATTCTGAGAGGAAGGGAGAGGGAGAGAGAGAGAGAAACATCAATGATATGAGAGAATCATTGATTGGCTGCCTTCTGCATGTCCCCCAGTGGAGACTGAGCCCGCAACCTGGGCATGTGCCCTGACCGGGAATCGAACCGTGACCTCCTGATTCATAGGTCAGTGCTCAACCACTGAGCCATACCAGTTGGGCCATTAGGTTCACTTTTTATAAAATTACTTAAATTTATAAAACCATTTAAACAGTGTGAAATCCCAATATTAAAAAAACAACCTAAACTTTAAAAATTTCCCATGTTCTTTCATATTAAAGTGATGTAGAGTTTTGAAAATAAAACTTACCACAGTTTGGCTATTTTTAAAATTTGTTACACTGGCTTGTAGATGAACAATCTAGGAAAAAGAAATGATCATTTAATTTTACTTTTTGTTTATATCAAAACTGAAAAGCACTGTAATCTAAAATTTTAAAAAATCTAAAAGATTAAAAATTCATTTAAACATTTACAAGTATTCTTTTAGAAAAGATACATAATAACTACACTTGCTTGCTACCTTGGATTAAAAAACAAACAAAATAATACACACTTCCAGAGTATGCCGGGGCCAGGATATATTGTTACACCTCTTAAATTCAGGGGCCTCCGTTTAAATGCCTTACTGAAGCAACTTAAGTGTCTTGTGAATAAAACATCTGATTATATTCAGTATAGTATAAAGTGTAACATGTTTTATATATTCCAAATCTTTGAAAATCTGAACTCAATTATATTTGGTGGTGAAATGTTTATAAGAATCCGATAATGTCTGTAAGTTTAATTTACTAGATCTGCTTAAGTATTTTTTAAAATTCTTTATTGTTGAAAGTATTACATATGTCCCCTTTTCCCCTCATTGTCCTCTCCCATGCTTAAGTATTTGAGAAAATTTTGCTTACTGGGTTAGTTGTTTAAAATATTCAATTAAAAACTCAAAATATTGTATTTATAAATCAGAGTAGTTCTAGTTTTTTTCTAATGAAAATAATCTATAATGTGCATGTATTTGCATGTATTAGTGTTAATAGCACATGCAAATGAACCTTTGTTTACAAAAAGAAAAAAAAAATTATCTATTCTGGTGTCAACCATCTCTACATAAGACTAATGTGGAGAGAATGCAGTGTATAATTTCCTGCAAAGCTATCAGTTTTCCTGAAAGTGTCTTTTACTTCCCCAGTAGAATTATCAGCAAATTATTTTTATCATTGTCCTCTGATTCTTCAGCAACATATGTAACATTATGCATAATTTCAGCATGACTGAAAGCTCGCTCCTACTGACATAACGTTTTGTTTTGTGTATAACCCCTGTTCAGAGGGAGGTGTGAATAAAAATTGCTCTAGTGAAATATTTTGTAGAAATTAACGTTACTTGCAAGAGCAGGAAGCAATTTGAAACAGATCGTATCTTTTTCCCTCCCCCCCCCCCCATTTTTTTAACTAACTCAACTCAGATGAATGATTTCAGTTTTATAGTTAACTATATATTTTAAGTAACGAAGATGTTAAAAACCTTTACACTTAAACCTGTTGTACAACATAAAATTACTACAGTGGCAATTAAAGTTTTTGCTAACAACACATACAGGAAAGTCTACGCCTGCCTGAGACCAAGCCCAGCCACCCGGATGTGAAGGATCTGACATACCTTAAACACATAGTAAAGATAAGTAAGAAGTATGGCAAATGCTCCACAAGTCGCCCAACTAATTATGATCAAAACAACCGTCAACAGGGGCAAGTCTGGTGAGAGCACCTTGATGTCTTTAGGAAGCTCAGAGGGCCTGGGAAAACAAGAAAAAACTCCTCAGGTATTTACACAATCACACACAAGAAGGAGCCAGGACCGTACTCCGCCAGGCTTTCCTGCTTAGCATGCAAGTGCCATAAGGTTAACAGTGTAAGCTATTTTTTAACACAGGCAAGGGGTGACACATATTTGATCGTAAATTTTGTAATATACCGTGACAGCTCCTCTTCCATTTAGATTCAGCATGGCCGACATTTGCACTAAGGAAGAGGAAAATGTTGCTGAAGGTAATCAATAATTACAGGCCCTGTGCCAGACGTGTCGGATCCGGAGAGGTGGAGAAACAGCTTTCTATTTCTTAAAGTCTCAAGGGCACTCACACACGTGATGGGGGCGGAAGCAGCATCACCCCACACTGCCCTCAGCGGCAGGGAGTCACATGACGTGTGTGGTGAGAGGAGGGGCGGAGGACACCAGGTCAGTGGTTTATTAGGAAAGCCTACCTGTAACTTCAAATGATGTCTGTGGGCCTGGAATAAAGCCACAGGCAATGCTATTGGAGCTTGTACACACTGCATCTCACCTGAACCCAAGTCTAGTGATGGAGTCTCCTGCCCTCAGGTCTGGCCGGAAGTGAGCATAGCAAATGCATTGCCAGAAACACTTCCTCCTCAGAGCAAGTTATAACAGTGAAATTTAAAAATACTTGTGCAATCTGCCTAATGTTTTTTATTAACTCAAGCAATAAGGTAAACATCAAATAACTTGCAAAGATAAAATCATCTTTGACAAGGACACCACTTTCCACACGAATCCTCATTTTGCTAGTTATAACATCTTCCTGAGAAAGTACAGTCTAATGAAAGCACGTTCATCTTAAGGCTCCTCATCAGAATACAGCTTTCTTCTTAATCAGGAGGAATGAGGAAGCGTTCACTCATTCATTCTTTACCTCTTCAGTGCGAGCCACAGTGAGGACAGGAGCCTCACGGCTGTGGACGAGAGCAGGCCACCCCAGTAGGCAGTGCACGTTCCAAACAGAAAGAGAATCAAGGAGACCAGGGGGAAACACATGCTCTGACTGGTCAAGACGATGACGTCTAACTCTGGTAAGAGTAAGACATCCCATATTTCCTTAAACCACTTATACCTGTGGATAAAAGAGGACAGACAAGTAAAAGCAAAAAAATAAAAACCATCACCTGACATTCAAGGATCCAATATGGGAGGTGTGTGACCATTCACTAGTGTCCCCACATTGCCATAATACTGAATTTGTAATTATACTAAAAAACACAGGTGAAGTAATTTATCTTCCCAGTGAGTCTCCTGATCTTCGAGGATCTGAGCCATGATTCTCAGTGCAGCGTTACTGCTCTCTACTGTTCCTTGTAATCCTATATAATAAAAGGCTAATATGCAAATTGTCCTCCAGACCAGGAGCTGGACTGGGAGTTCGGCCAGGGGGTGGGGCCAGCTGGCCAACCTACCACATCCCCTCCCTGCAGCCGGCCCGGCCGGAATGCCCTGATCAGGGCAGGCAGGCAAGACCCCACCTGTGCACGAATTCGTGCACCAGGCCTCTAGTGAAATCATAAGTGGTGCGTGTGTGGTTTTTTTTTAATGTTAGAAAGCCAATAGCTAGTTTGAATGACAGAAGAAAAAAGATCTAAGCAATGGTTCTTAAGCAAAAACCAAATTTGTATAAATTAAGAGCAGAATGTTAGGTAGGGTAGAGAGATCTACAATATACTTTGTATGGGAAGTAAGAAAAAGCAATCTGACACCATCTCATCCGTAACCTACAATGATTTACTCATGATCTGGGCTATTCAAAGATCATATTCATCCCTCCACAACTGTTAAAGGCCTGGTGTATTTACAGTCTAAGTTTATATATATAAGCTTAGTTCAATGATTACTTTTGAAATGATTATACTATTAAAGTAAATGTTGATATACTTACCAGGCCTTTGTCTAAAAGAAAAATCCCGCTTACCTGAACAAGTCAATTGCCATATTTGTATGAAAAGGTATATTCCATCAATGGAGACAAACATAATGCTTTATATACAATACGAAATTAAAATCATTACCACAGGTAACAAGACTTACCCCAACAGAAACTTAATCATAATTACAAAAGGATCCACTTTGTATGGTTTGGCTTCTTTATCCAACATCGTAGCATACTCCAAGCAATGACCTGAGGATTGGAAGACATTACAGGTGGTGAAGAATACACAGCAGTTACAGGGGGGACACGCTACCTCCCGCACTGTCGGTGAGAGCACACGCCCTGTGGCGGAGAAGCCAGGTCTGCACACACCCTTCCACGTTCCCACCCGCAGTGCAGGAACGCCCGCTTCTCCACACCCTCGTTACCACTGCAATCATCTCTCTTTCTCTATGGATAGTCATTCTAGTGAGCATGGCCCACGGTCATTTTTGATAAACATCCTTGGTTCAGAATTACTTCTGTAACTAGCTTGAGACATAATCCCGTATGTAAATCCTCTAGATCAGTGGTTCTCAACCTTGGCTGCACATTAGAATCACCTGGGAATCTTTTTTTTTTAATATATTTTATTGATTTTTTACAGAGAGGAAGGAGAGAGAGATAGAGAGTTAGAAACATCGATGAGAGAGAGCCATCGATCAGCTGCCTCCTGCACATCTCCCACCGGGGATGTGCCCGCAACCCAGGTACATGCCCTTGACCGGAATCGAACCTGCGACCTTTCAGTCCGCAGGCCGATGCTCTATCCACCGAGCCAAACCGGTTTCGGCACCTGGGAATCTTTTTAAAATCCTGATTGCTGGGCCTCATCCTCCGGAAATTCTGTTTCTTTTTTACTAATGTTGTGGCCCCACCCCATAAGAAAGAAACAGAATTTCCGGAGGATGAGCCCAGACATCAGGATAATAAAAAGATTCCCAGGTGATTCTAATGTGCAGCCAAGGCTGAGAACCACTGCTCTAGATTAACCAATACGTATCTCTGAGGTCTCTATGAACTCTCTAGGTATAAATTCTGTATGTTTGAGAATCAACTATCAAGTCACTTAAAACTCAGAAGGATGAGACATCTCTTTCAAACTTTCTAAAAATATTTACATCCAAGTATGGTGATGTCATATTCCCCAAATAACCTCTTAATTAAAAGACGACCTGGGTGGTGCTGCAGCGAATGTTGCTGCTCTCTTCCCGGAATGCAACTACACCGGGTTAAAACAAACGCTTAGAGGCAGACTGGAAAGTGTAACAAGCTACTGAAAGGGAAAGAGTCGCTGTGGAAGGGCTTGGCGAAATGGAAATAATGGAGATTTTTGACCGCTTTTATGTATCTTGGCCCTATCCTCTTTTCCTCTCTCTTGCCTCCCTTGATGACTGTCCAAACACAACAAGTTTTGTAAGGACCTTACAGAGGTGAGTCTCCTGGGAATTATTCTAATGGCTATTCTCTGTGGAGGCCTGTCCAATGTGCTGTATGTTCTCTATGTGCCTCTCCAGATTCAGCCTCCACTCCACTTTGCTCTGAATTTTGGGAAGCTGACTTGCATGGACTGGCTTCCCTGTAGGTTCAGTGAATGAGAGGCACTGGCAGATAGGAGAAGGGGTGGAAGCAAGGCTAGTGCGTTAGCTTCCCCGCCTGTCCCCTGCTGAGACCCAGCGCTCCTGTCCGCAGCCTGCCGCTGTGCTGCCGTAATGCTGTCCTTCTAAGCTCGCTCGTCTGCTCTCGCCCTGGCCCCGGCACCCGCAGTATCAGGTGGCTCTGTTGCTAATCTGGCACTTTATCATCTTCTGTTACCCTGCACATATGGTACCTTTGAAACATTACACTCTCAATTATTCCATTCACTGTGCCAGGACCTAATTAATACAGTTGATACAGCTCAAACATTACACTGAGTGCTACTATGTGCCTGACACTATGCTGGGTACCAGGAATAGAATGGAGAACAAGATCCCTGCCAATAAGCCTCTACCAGCTGAGAGGTCCTCAGAAGAGAGGGAAGACATTTCAGGCACAAGGGTATAAAATGGAGAAAACAGGTAAGACGTGTCTTGGGTATCTTTTAAAACTTAGAGGATCTCAAATCCCTGTAAACGCGGGAGAGGTGAGTTATAAATTATCAAGAAGTTGATCTGTCTTCCTTAGCCACACAAAAGATAAAAAAAAAAGTAGTAATGAAGCATATAAGGAGGGAGGGGGGAGGGTGAAGGAGGAGGGAGGGAGAAGGGAGGGGAAAGGAAGATAAGATTCTCACCTGCTGAGAAGAGAGAGGATAACTGTCCCCCATAAGCAAGAAGGATGCTCGAGACAACGTAAGCAGGAAGAGCTCCACCGTGAAACCTAACGACCTAGAAAACAGGCAAATCAAGGACAACTTCTAAATCGTCAGGCTAACACAGGTGCCCTTTCACATGAAATAAAACTGTTGTTCTTCACTTTCTCTCTCTCATGACATGGCCACAAAGGTGTTCCCAGTAATGGGTATCAGACTCTAAGTAAAATAAACGTTAACAATATAGAGTACGCCAGAAACATGGTATCTGAATTTCTCATCAAAGGCTTGATAAGGAAAATATACAACTGAGCCATAAGCACTGCCCGCTTTTTCATAAGGCACGTTCACTGAGCATTTACTGTATTTCAGGCGTGGCATTCGGCATCTTGTCTGCATTATTTCATGCTCTCCTCCCGCGAGCCCTCTGAGGTTGTGCTTATCCCAACGTTACAGGTGAAACGGAGGCACAGGGCTCGAAAGTAACTTGCACAATTAAAAACATCACACACACGCAAGTGACTGACTTGTTGCAGGTGCCCTGGCCAAGAACGGAACCGACCACCTTTCAGTATACAGACAACACCAGCCAACTGCGCCACACTGGCCAGGGCTAGTCTGTCCTTCTCTGATGCACATGTGATTATGCTCGACTATAGAGTACTGAACTGACTAGACTCTTCTTTGTCACTAACCTAAATTATGAGGCACCAGAATGACATGAGAATACAGTATGACATGTCCTCGGCCCACACCTCCATGCACAGCAACATGCGTTTTGAACATACTAAAAGTACGACAGCATGGATTCCAAGACATAAATCTTCGTAATAATCGATCCCTTAACATTTTTATTACAACTCTCCAGGAGGCTAGGTTCCAACTTATACTAACATTTAACCTTCTCTTGCTAATGTAGCACAAAATTTTTACACTTAACTTATAATTTTCTAATGTTCACAAATGTAACAATACTTACAATCTAGTTCTCATCAGGTTGTTGTGAGGATCAAGTGAGATATTGCATATATTAGTAAAAAAGTTTCTAATTTAATTTTGACTTGTAAGTTTTATTATCATTATCGGATTAAATGATGTAAATTAAAAATATTCTGCTATGCCAGGAATGCAAAACATGAAAGATAAATAAAGTGAAAGTAATAAAAGGCACAATAAAAATGTTAATGAATTTTAAAGTTACATAACTTCTCTGACAAATCAGTATTATCTATTGTACAATTCTGTAAATTATAATGATGCTGAATCATAATATAGCAGTTCTGCTACTTGATAAATTATTTTTGTAACCCTATTTACCTATGAATTATAGAAAGACACTCTCCAAATAAATTTAAACTATTTTTCAACATGTCTATTGAATATAATTTACTTCCCACCTTTTATACACTGAGCATGCACAAAATTAGAAGTTCTCTGAAAATGTTCATTTATATGATGGAGTCTATAGATTTTATTAGGCTATAAATTATAACGTACGAGCAACATGAAATCTTAATATGACATCCATTTAGCCAAGGACATGAACTTGTTTGAGAATCAGGAATCAGCCCTAGGAAGTCTCACACATGAGAGCACCCCTTAAAGCCAGGGCGGCCAGTGTGGCCCGTGTGCCGAGAATGGAGTTTAGGTTTCATGAACGTGGAAGGAAGAAGAGGAAGGGAGGAGGCAGCAGCAGCAGCTGCAGGGGTGCCGGCCGCGGCCAGAGGCCATAGGGGGTCTGCTGGTATTTACTCTCTGGCCCTTTACAGAAGTCTGCCACCCCTGCCTTACAGTACCCATTCACAAGACAATAACCAATCAGGGGTCTCTCTTACCTGTCCAAGTATTTGCGGAAAGGAAGTCTTAATCGTCACCTGGTTTAAAATAATCATTAAGAAAAATGTTATTTTCCCTAAAGCTGCCCCAGGCCACATTTTATTAAATTAAGCATTTTATTAAATAGAAATTAACTTTTTTATGGTAATAAACCTAATGGCACTCAAGATCTCAAAAGAATCCTCTGAACCACCAACATTTAATGTGTATCCAGGGTAATTTTACTGTTCAGTAAAATATGTTCCCATATTCGAATTCTTTGACAACTGAATGAATGCCATGGTATACATAGTAACCCTTTACTAACTAAAATACTTAACTAACGAGAATATCAAATTACTAGATCATGCAAGCTAAAGGAATTTATTAAGTGACTGAGTGCAGTTAAGTGGAATCAAGATATTTCACATCAGCCAGAAACCTGTGATGTCACCACAAATGTCTACTTCAGCCATGTCCATCTGGAGTCCTTAGAACGTGGCCTGTACTAATACAGGGAGGGACTCTTCTGGTTCATGAACCCGTAAGTTAATAACATGTTACCCTGGAGCTCTATTTCCCTTCTCTCAGCACAAGGAAAGCTAGGTGATGGTAACACAAACTCAATAGACACGGAACTGCACGGATTAATGACTAACAGAAACTAATATAGTCAGTGAAAAGCAAAGAAGGTCCTTAAGTTTATCTAAGAGCTAGGAACAAATGAGCATCACGCTGATTAGTGAATGAAACCCACAGCTGATTTCATGATGTTCTTCAATTTACAAAGGACCTTTGCTCCCAAATTGAAAAGGTTAGACTTCAGTCGCAATTTTAATTTTATTTTCTCTTACTAAGATGCATACGTTCAGTGGTCCAGCTAAGAAAATATGAAGGTGGTGCTAAGAGGTAAAAGGGAGGATATTTAAAGTAATATACATGTCTACTTCTTTTTTGTGAATGTCTACTTCTAGTATTTATTGCCTTCTGCATCACCATGTATCTGAAGCTAACATAAAATACATCTGCCGTACCCTAACCGGTTTGGCTCAGTGGATAGAGCGTCAGCCTGCGGACTCAAGGGTCCCAGGTTCGATTCCAGTCAAGGGCATGTACCTTGGTTGTGGGCACATCCCCAGTAGGGAGTGTGCAGGAGGCAGCTGATCGATGTTTCTCTCTCATCGATGTTTCTAACTCTCTATCCCTTTCCCTTCCTCTCTGTGAAAAATCAATAAAATATATTTTAAAAAAATACATCTGCCGTTTATTCTATAACTAAATCTTAAAAGTGAAGCCAACATACAGCTTACCTCATACTGACAGTCGGAAGATGTGTACATTTTTAATAACGCGACGTGGCTGTCATTGTCTGGCTGGGCAACATGGAGTTTCAGAGAAATTTCTGTTGAAGATGGGACCCTGAAAAGTAACTTAATTATCAATTCTCAAATACAGAATGCTATTAAATAACACAGCTAAGCCAGTCCTCGGCCCACCACAGCGTGTTAATGGAGAGGAGGCTGGCTGTGAGACGCATGGTGACCGAGGGACGTTCCCGGCATGCCACGGTGTGTGACTGCTCCCTCAGGGACACAGGAGTCGGGGAGAGGTGGGAAAGGGTTCATGTTTCAAGCAATGAAGGTTTACATTCTGTACCAGTTAAATAAGAATACCATATATTATATTACCTACGGGCACAATGCTACATTAGGAATACCTACATTTTACTAAGAGGCACTTTAATGATTCCACTTTGATGTAAATAAACTTAGTAGAATGTGTATTATTCAAAAAACAAAAGTTTAAGGTAAATCCTTTCAGATACTTACTGTGCAATGGTTAGCGAATCTTCATAAGACCAGGGAATGTGAAGTTTATAGATACTAGTTATTTCTTCTGTGAAAACAAAACGAAAACATGTATTACTACCCTTATGTCACACCAAATGTTATATAAACTACTATAATATCTAACTAACTATAGCAATTATAATTATAGTTCATAAGAAATCAGTAAGAGTTACATCACATAATAGAAAATTATGAAGAATGATTAAATAATAATCTATATATATAAAAGGCTAAGCAACCGTCTGACTGGTAGCTATGATGCACAATGACCACCAGGGGGCAGGTGCTCAACACAGGAGCTGCTGAGCTGTGGTGACTTGGCAGTGGTGGTTCTCGGGTGACACACCCTGGAACCAGAGAGGAGGGAGCCTGATTCTGGGGTGCATCACCTGAGAACTGCCCTCTCACAATCTGGGACCCCCTCGGGAGATGTCGAAGAGCTGGTTTTGGCCTGATCCCTGCAGGCCAGGCAGAGGGACCCCACCTGTTGGAGGGACCTGGCTTGCCGGGAGCCGGTCCATGCTTGCTGTTTCAAGGGACCTGGCATATATGGCATACTGTTCTTAATATGTTTGCTCACCTTCTTGGCACTATGTGTTTTAACCAAGGTCTCTGAGAAAGGTTGTTTCCCCAGGTAGGGATTTTCCCCTGAAGTTAGGGAGGGAATAAAACCTCTTAACTAGTGCCAGGTGGGTAATTAATCACTTTAACTACGAGCAATCATGCTTAAGCTACATAATCTTTACTCCCTGGAATGGAGATAAGAAACGCCCTAACCTTTGTAATAGAGATTGATAGGATTGAATCAACTGGTATAAATACAGATGTAATAAGACAGTAAGACACAGAACTTAGAATACGGAACCAAGAGAGACAGAACTTAGAACACAGAACTTAGAACACAGAACTTAGAACACAGAACTTAGCAGACAGAACCAAGAGAGACGGAACCTAGGCACAGAACCTACACAGAACATTCTCTAGAGACAGAAGAACTTCGCTGGAGAGAACATGGCAAAAGTTCCTGGACAGAAACTGGCCTCAGAACCTAGAGACAGAACCTAGCGAGAGAACATGGCAAAAGATCCTGGACTGAACCTGACTACAGAAATTGGCAAGAGAACCTGACTAGAACCTGGTGACTGAACCTGGCTGGAGAACCTGGAGAACCTAGCAAGAGAACATGGACACAGAACCTGGCTGGAGATCCTAACCAGAACTTTGCTGGAGATCCTGGCTAGAGATCCTGGCGAGGCTGCTGATCAACTGAACACTGTCTTCATGTCATTCCTTCTTCGCCGACTCCGTCCACACCTTTGGGGACCCCTGGACCCGCTGGGGTTGGACCCCGGCACTGGCTCACTCCGTACACGCCCTTCAAGTCACAGTGCCACCCCAGGTGCGGCCAGCCAGGGAGGGACCGCGGGAGGTTGGCTCCAGGGCATGTTCAGCCTGTCTCGCCCAGGTGCACCCCACCGGCCACCTCCTAATTCATTTCCTTTCAATGTGCATGAATCCGTGCACCGGGGCACTAGTGTTTTATAATATTAGACTCATAAAAGATATTAGAGCATTTGAGAAGGACTAAGAAACTGGGAAAACACTAAGCAGCTAAATCTGAATTACTATTATAACAAAACAGCAAGCTTTGTATTTTTAAAACGTGAATATTTAAGCCTGGGCTGGTGTGGCTCAGTTGGTTGAGCATCGTCCTGTGTACCAAAAGGCACCAGTCTGATTCCAGGTCAGGCAATGCCCAGGTTTGGGGCTCGATCCCCAACCCCCAGTTGTGGTGTGTGCGGGAGGCAGTTGATCAATGTTTCTCTTTCTCTCTCCCTCTTCTTTTCCCTCTCTCTGAAATCAATAAAAACATATTTTTTAAAAAGTGGGTGTTAAAACTAAAACAGAAGATGCTTACTGCCCTAACTGGTTTGGCTCAGTGGATAGAGCGTCGGCCTGTGGACTCAAGGGTCCTGGGTTTGATTCTGGTCAAGGGCATGTACCTTGTTGCGGGCACATCCCCAGTAGGGAGTGTGCAGGAGGCAGCTGATCGATGCTTCTCTTTCATCGATGTTCTAACTCTCTATCCCTCTCTCTTCCTCTCTGTAAAAAATCAATAAAATATATTTTTTTAAAAAAGATGCTTACTATTAACACATTGTGGACGGATCACGAGAATTCTCGCTTCATATTACAGTGTTTTACAAAGTATCATACTTTAAAAAGATGTTAGCTTGTAAGAACATACAATAAATAACTTCAAAATGCAATGGATACTTAATTTTAAAGTGTGCCTTTAACATTTATGTAAAATGTTTTTTGCACTCATTCAATAAAAACTTATCTGACCACTAGGTAAAGCTAGCAATAAAACTACTGGTCCGCAATGTGTAAAGAAAGGGTCTATGTTAAATTTGTTGGAAATATAAACAGCTTTTCTATTATATTACATTTTACTTCACATAAATATAGGAAATTCAAGTGAAAACCTACTGATTCTTCAAATGACAACACCTTTATATTTTATTGTAAAATACACTTACCTTTGACTCCTGAGCACTTGCTGTCTACGTTGACTTGAAAAGCTTGGTATATCTAATAGTTTGACCACAAAAACAAAAACAGAAGTTTACGTGTCTGTTTAACTAAACAGTAAAGTGAAATCAAATCCTTCTTATACGCGGGACTATTACCTGTCCGAAGTTCAGAAGCTCTATATTATAGAACAGGCCGCTTGTGTCTAATTTCACTTTCCTTGAAGATAATCCTGTTAAATTAAAAGTACCGTATTGCTTAGAACACCAAAGAATAACGAAAGTACAAATTGCTTAAACAACATTAAAATTATGCCAACAGATTTTTAATATTAAAAAAGAGCTGGTAGCTTCTGACTTCTGACACGAAGGCAAAAACTCCTGAAAACACAATCCTCCTTTAAAAAACTCTGGATAAAAAAACCAAACATTTACGATGCCTTTCAATCACATGTATGTGCTTTAAAAAACCAATACATATCTCTAGTGTCGATATGGTATGCTTTCTTGGTAGATCTCATTTCATAAGCGTGCTATCTTTAAGGAGCTAAGTGATGGAGTTGCCATTTCTGTACTGTTTTCAGTATTTTTCTACCAGAAAAGGGTAGAGGAGGGATAAAAATCTTACAGGAAGTTTCCTCTATCAAGTAGAATAGATTCCTTTCATGAATGGCATAAGAGGCAACCAAAATACAGATTCCACTATCCAAAGCCGGAAAAACTTAAACAAACAAGAAAGTAACAACAGTATTGGATTATAACCCAATGAATAAATAAATATGTATGGGTCCACTACTGACATACATAAAAACTGAATAAATAAATAAATCAGGAAGAAGGGACAACTTTCCTTTGGGAAGAATTCTAGAAAATATAGAGTATCAGTGATAACTGCTTCAGACTAGATGAACCCATGGATGCTAAGATTAGTGGGTTATTTTGAAAAAAAAAAAAAAATAGGTTACTCACAAAGTATCTCCCCAAAAACATTTATTAATTCCAGTAACTTCACAGTAGAAAAACCTGGCAGACACCCCAGTGGCAAGTGGGCAAGGTTAATTCCAGTAACTTCACAGTAGAAAAACCTGGCAGACACCCCAGTGGCAAGTGGGCAAGGTTAACATCACTGGTGATCAGACACAGTGAGTGATAAAACGTGTCCTCTGATAGGATACATGGAGAAGTACTTATCACTTCTGTCATATTCTTGCCAAAAAATGCATCACACCAACTAATAGGGAAGCTTTAGACAAATCCAAATCAAGGACTATTCTTCAAAATAACTGACCAGTGCTCTTCAAAGGTACCAAAATTATGAAAGGCAAGGAAAGACGGAGGAACACTAAAAAGATTAGAGGAGACGAAAGAGCCATAAAAACTCAAAGCAATGCGGGCACCTGGAGAAGAACAAGGCGGAAAAGCCAACGAAAACCAAATGAAGCCTAAGGCTTAGTTAACAGTATGATGCTAATGCTAACCGCTCAGTTTTGACAACTGCACTGTTTAAGAGGCCAACATGATAGAGAGATGAGTGACGGCCACACAGGAGCTCTGTACTCTTTCTGTAAGCCTAACATTATTTCATAATAAAATGTAAGAGAATATGCAGTTGTATGTACTTAGAGAAATCTTGAAACTGTCACAGGGCAGGTAGAGATTTCTATCTTATAATAAGCCTTTTATTGAAAGGGCCAATATTGAGTATAAATTCACATGAGAACACACCCACATACACACACAAACGTATGTGATCATGGATACATTTAATTTAAAGTTCCCTTCTCAGAAGATGACAGCTGGCCCAGTATTAAATAAGAGTCAAACGAATGAACACATCACATGCTAACTCTAGGACTACACTTGAAATACACAATACTCTTTTACACGGTTGTGCTTTATTGCGAAAGAAATCAGCACTGTTAAAAAGAAAAGCAAGTCTTAGGGTTTCCAAAATCAAAATACTTACCAAAGGAAAAAAGATGAGTTACAGGAAGCTGTATGGACCTTGTCTCTCTTTTAAAGAATTCACAATCTACAACAAACTGAAACAGAAACATTGACTTATTAGGGGGAAAAAAACTCAACAAATTTTAGTAAAACATCTTGATGTTTGAGTGGAAAATAAAAGTCGTCAGCTTTGGGGAAGGTTGTGCCACCCTCTAACTCTGGCTACACTAAAATGGCAAGCATTCCTCAAGGAGAGATGCCAAACTAAGAAAATTTGATGAGCAAGCTTAATTTAATAAAAATTATTAGTGTATTGTGTATTTTTGAGTAGTTCTTTTATTCCCTCTCTTCCCCATTTCCAAATTTATTTCTCTTCCCCAACCCAAGTGTATTTTTAAGAACGGGGTTAGTTTCTTCCTCATTTGTGTGCTTCCTATATAATTCCTGGCATAGACTCTTGCATATAAAACGATCTCAATAATTAATAGATTTTGAAAGTCTGATGTTCCACTTGGAATAAAGAGACTTGGGTTTATTCTGCTTAGTTCAAGTTAGACTGGTCCTACCAGTCTTAGGTGGATCGTTAAACTGGCATTGTTTTAGACAAGCCCTATGCTGAAGAATTCATGAAGAACAAATATTTTGCATGAGTAGCCCCAAAATATTTTGATAATGACTTTAATCCATTTGTTACCTTACTTCCATGAATAGATGGTACATAAACAACAAGATGTGACAAAGATGGATAGTCTTGAAGTCTTAACGTCAGAGACTAAAAAAAAGGTGAAAGTAAAAAGCTGATTTATACAGACCGTAAAGCACTTTAAAAGAAAAATAAATTACACACACTATTTCTTATTTAATACGTTATAAAAAAAACAGATTGCAAACTTAAATGCAATACTTCATAAGGTAGCATGTTTATATTTTCAGGTCAATAATCCTGCTAAAAGTCAAACTCCTAATAATTATGTGAATATGGACTACCAAAATAGTCCTGCATCTCTTGAATTGTATCTGTCCCTTCATGTAAAACAAATGACATTTAACACTAAATTTAAATATTTTACATAATTAGTTCCAGATTTGTTCTTTCCTTTTATAATTTGTCTATTTGTCTCGAACAATGTTACAGCATTATCTCCACATTTATTTTGGTAGCACATGACAGAGGCTCAACAACAGATGAGTGAATGGATGCTAAATATGATGGAAGAGTTGGCACCTAATCCCAAATGATTCTGATCAAGCCCAAGTAGTCAAGAGATGCTGGCTAATGATATACATGAACATCATCCCCCGACTATTCAGTAACATGACATGAAGACACAGCAAAGCAAGACTAATAATGTACCTCACCCAATAAACATCTCTTCTCAAAATTAAGACCAGATCCCATAGCCACATTTTGAGGAATAAATAGATAAGAGACGCGTCTATTTTTTGAAAAGCCAAGTCACCAAATAGCTCTGAAAGCCACACTTTCCCCTGGAAGTACGTGCAGGGGTGGGGGAGTGACAGGCTGCTACAGTTTGCATGCACAGAGACATTTCTGCAGATAACTTTCTCCACGGCACCCCAGGGCAGCTCTGTGGGCCAGCCCCGAGAGGTTCTGAGGCTGGAGAGCTGTCTGTCGGTGAGTGGCCGTCTAAGAAGCCAGTCAGATTCCCTTGGGACAGCACGTTAAACAAACTCCTGGGCCTCTCCTCAATGTACAGCAATGTTTCTGCAACAGACATCTATCTTATCTATATCTAGAGTATATAAGCCCAGCTACTGTTATGGCAGAACGACCGGAACAACCAGAACGACCGTCACTATGATGTGCACTGACCACCAGGGGGCAGATGCTCAATGCAGGAGCTGCCCCCTGGTGGTCAGTGCATGGGAGTGCTGCTCAGCCAGAAGCTGGGCTCACAGCTGGTGAGTGCAGCAGTGGTGGGTGGTGGGAGCCTCTCCCACCTCTGCAGCAGCGCTAAGGAGCAGTGAGCCAAACAGTAAGGAGCAAGCAGGCGGGCTGTTAGGAGCGAGGGGTCCCGGATTGCGAGAGGGTGCAGGCCAGGCTGAGGGGCCCCTCTCCCCCTGCACGAATTTCGTGCATCGGGCCTCTAATATAATATAAATGAAAGGGCCTTGAACATACCTTCAAATTGAATTTTAAAACGTTACTTAGCTCTTGGTATGATGCAATAACACAGACATTTCATTTTATTTAGAGCATTATTAACCTAATCGTTTTTACCTCTGAGAACTAAAAAAATACATTCTTCTCCATTAAATTTCTCCATTTCTAGGGAAAATATTTCTAAAATGCAGATGAACAAATCTTAAGTTTATGAACTACCTAGATGAATTAATAACATATCATATTCTAAAATGCCTATAGGCTCAAGCATTTTTTTCACCTAAATATTGAAATTCTAAAGCCACAACTTACCTTAATTGTTGGCAACAGTTCAGCTTTCCATGATAAGTCAACCCCTTGCTGGCTATGAAATAAATAGGCAAATATAATTAAAGGACACACATATTAAAGTATTATACATGATAAATAAGCGTCAGAGGAAAAAGAAATCACCCACAGAGCTGCCAGAGAGAGTTCTAATGACATGAAGTCTAACATGTTCTCACCCAAGATATTCTACCTACACAGTCCTTTTGGAACCAAAAAACTGTCTTTCCAGCAGCTATTTCAATGTTTACAAAACTTACTGCTATGCCAATTTCCTTTTTCACTTTAAAACCTATACTTTAATTTAGTATAGCACCAAAATGAGCTTAAAAACGTACAAAGTTATTCTGAAAGTATAATTTGTGAGTGTGTTTACGTGGAGGAAAATGAACAATGGAAGGCCATAGATTCAAAAAACTTACCACATAGAAGTACTGTTTATGCAGCCAAAAATCCAACTATTTGTATCCTGTTGATTAATGACACAAGCAAAGCACACTAAGTGATACGGAAAATAATTATGCAAAATAGACATCTTTGATGTTTTACTGTTGCCTGACAGGGCCAGTAGGCACAATAAAAATATAAAATAGCAACTTATTATTTAGGAATGTATCCGAGATGGTCTAAAAGTCAAATAGGTCAAAGGTAGGCAAAGAAGTCTACAGTCAACAAGATAGGGAAGCAAGTAACCTAGAGTAGCAATGTGAGACAGAGGAACCCAATGGGCACCTCTCCACAGCACATTACCCTAAGCATTTCTAATTTTTTTTTTAAAAAAATGTTTTTATTTATTTTAGAGAGAGAGGAAGGGAAAGGGAGAGAAACAGATATGAGAGGCACAGGTTAGCTGCCTCCTGCATGCCCCCTACTGGAGATCGAGCCCAAACCCAGACATGTGCCCTGACTGGGAAATGAACCAGCAACCTTTGGGTGCATGGGATGATGCTCAATCAACTGAGTCGCACGGGCCTGGGCAAGCGTTTCTAATGTGTGAACCAATACCTTGAGTTTGGCAATGTTCATAGTTTAATTATGTAGTTACATAGTAAGTTTCCTACATTTTAACAAAAACAGAAAAATGAACAAGTAGACATGGACTTTTATACAAAAATAAATTTAAAAAATCCAAAAAAGAGCCAAGTAATTAAAAAATAACAATTAATTGAAGTATAGCCTTTAGTTTATCATTTGAGTTCTTATTTGACTACCAAACAGATAACTTCTACGCAGCTGAGTATGTGTTTGGATTGAAACACAATTCAAGACTGAGGCTAGTTGCTACTTTGTCAGTGCAGCACGGAAATACGGCAGCGATGATGGTGATTTTTTTAACTATATTATGGATTTAGCTTCAGTCATTTAAGAGAATTCTGACCTAAGATCACTCTAACTTTTAAGGAAGTAGTAAGAGCAATGCTTCAAGACTACTGAAATGATCCAACTACTGAAATCCTACCAGGGCATAAGGTAATGAGCAACACTGCTCAGACAGCCACATAAATTCTTCCTTAGTATACACATAGGACAATAAAAAAAATCAATCCTTTCATTAAACTAATATTTATAATTTATAAAGTCCATTCTAGGGCCAAGGAATTGTGCCCTTGAGGAAAAGGATGAATCATGCAGACATGGTCTTTGCTCTCATGAAACTTAAATAAAATTTTAAGATGTTTTTCCAAGAATACAGAAAAGAAAGCTGAAAGGAAACAAACAAAAAGCAATATGGTATTTTTCTGCTCTCCACTCCTGGCAAAATGCCAGTGTGACTTCAATATCAGCTGCCTACACTTCTCAGAACCCTAATATGCCCTTTTATTTTTTAAAAATATATTTTATTGATTTTTTTTTTTTACAGAGAGGAAGGGAGAGGGATAGAGAGTTAGAAACATCGGTGAGAGAGAAACATCAATCAGCTGCCTCCTGTACACCTCCTACTGGGGATGTGCCCACAACGAAGGTACATGCCCTTGACCGAAATCGAACCTGGGACCTTTCAGTCCGTAGGCCGACGCTCTATCCACTGAGCCAAACCGGTTACGGCTAATGTGCCCTTTTAAAGCAAGGCAACAAAACCGATCTGCACAGCCTGGACAAAGAACATCTAGAAGCCTCTCAATAGCCAGCCCACTTTCATCCTGGGTTTATGCAGCTAATAAGGGAGCGTGTCCTCAAAGATAGCCCTCATTATGAAGATTGCCAATAGCCCACACCACTCATCTCATTCCATGTATAGGGAATTCTGACTCCTTCATCAATGAATTGAATAAATATTATTCAAGCCCACCCTAAAATATCATTTTTATACAGCCTAGAAAGTGTCCAGAGAACAATTTCAGGTCATCTGGTAAACATCCCTAACTAATTACAAAAACTGTATAAATCATCTTAGAAAAAGTCACTCAGGAATTGCTGACTAACTCCAGGAAGTAAAAAGCAAAGAAAATGCCACTAGATCATAAAATATATAGTTTTTTTAAAAAAAATCTGTCCGCAGCCCTCAGTGGCTGCTAAAATCATTAGGTGAAAGATTGATTGGGAACTTCACGGTGGATAGATCATACTGATACCACCTAAGTCCCCAACCAGCTAGGATATGCCTCCCAGTTCTTGTAAAACATTCTTACCATACACAATTAATCAGAGACTAATCAAGATTCTAGATCAGTGGTTCTCAACCTTCTGGCCCTTTAAATACAGTTCCTCATGTTGTGACCCAACCATAAAATTATTTTCGTTGCTACTTCATAACTGTAATGTTGCTACTGTGATGAATCGTGATGTAAATATCTGATATGCAGGATGGTCTTAGGCAACTCCAGTGAAAGGGTCATTCAACCACCAAAGGGGTTGCGACCCACAGGTTGAGAACGGCTGTTCTAGATCTAACTACCAGTTTACAGAAAACAGGAGGGATGGGAATACATGGTAAAAGGTACCACAAGAATACAATCGGTTAAATCCACAATGCAGGGAATTTATAGAGCCCACAGCCTTTCTTGAATAAATAAATGGAAAGAAAAGGGGGCTGTTACAAAAGAGACTTAAAATCCACGAATCAAATGCAATGTATGGACTTCAGATTCTGATTCAAATAGATCAACTTAAAGAGTAAAACCATCCTTTCTAAAGGCTTTATTCTATATCAAAGTGCAGCATCTACCAACTCAGTGATATATTAAATCCTGGTACATTATCAGCTACAGAAACATTTGGATGAATACTTTTCAATAAAAAAAACTCTTCTCCAAATATTTTTCAATGAATTAGATTTAGTAATAGTGCATAGCTAAGGTAGAGAGCTACTAGATATTTGGTAAATTTGAAAAATGAGCAGTTAGCCTTTTAAATTTACACAGAATATACCAATCATCTTACCAGCATGGTGCTCTGACAATAGGCATGAGTGTAGATTTTCCTATGATTTGCAAGAGGAAATGTAAAATATATTTTATCAGATTCCTGAAAAAAAAGGAAAAACACAATAAAACGATCATAAAAATAGATAATTTCATCATTCAAAACTCCAGCTAAAGGTGATCAGTAATTATTCAATTATTCCTAGTAGTGTTGAAGACCAGTATTCTAGGAGTGGGAAGAAGAGACAGCTGTAAGATAAGAGAGATCAGGTACAAACCCTGTAGTCCTGAAATCTATCTTAAAAGCATCAGTACGAATGCATGTGTTCTGTTTTGGTTCGGTTTTTGGCCTTATGATGAAGCTAAAATACCTTTCTTAGCTCTGTCCACTGAAAAGCCTAGAAATGCTAACCCACCAGCCATAAGTATTGCTACTGCCCTGATTACGGATTTTAGGTGCCATTTCCCAAATATTGGGAGACTTCCTTCGAGAAAAAAGCTGATTCAAGGTCTGGGGCAGGGGATATACAAAACGAGCTGCAATGTCTTCTCAAACCAGATAGATAGTGAGAAAACTACCAACGGCAAATAAAGAGCAGCTATATGGAAAGATTCTAGAACCGAACTTGAAATGGCTACACTGGTCAAGGATAGAACAATTTTAATATTTTAGTTTATGCTTAAATACATGAGTTTGTAACAATATTAGGGGAGGAAAAAACCCCAAAACCTCTTTCAGTCACTGTCTGTGAACCAACTCACTATTCTGAAAACGAGTAAATATAAGATCCAAAGGTCTACGTGATTGACATTTTTCCCTTTACGATGTGTTCCGTTTTTGATAAATGTACTAGATGAGTTTTTCTATATAGTATTCCAATTAATAAATGAAGAAGAAATAATCAAATTGGAGTATCACCATTTTTGCATCCCTCTACATCAGCCATGGGCAAACTAGGGCCCGCGGGCTAGATCCGGCCCATTTGAAATGAATAAAACTAAAAAAAAAAGACCGTACCCTTTTATGTAATGATGTTTACTTTGAATTTATATTAGTTCACACAAACACTCCATCCATGCTTTTGTTCCGGCCCTCCGGTCCAGTTTAAGAACCCATTGTGGCCCTCGAGTCAAAAAGTTTGCCCACCCCTGCTCTACATGAACTGACAGTAGGCATTATTCCTCAATACTAGTAGCTGCTAATATAAGAAAAAAGTCAGACAGTCTCGCAAAACAAACACTTGAATCTGATCGAGCATCTAGACCCAACTACTAAGTCCCAGGAAGAGAGAAGGCAAAGGAACACGTTGAATGACACTACAGCAATGCAATCAGAAAACCAAGACTGTGGAACTTCATCAAACTGGGACAAATGACTTGCTTTTTTCAACAAATAAACTGCAAGAGGAAAAAAAGGTGGTGAAGTAAGTATGAGAGATTAAAAGAATAAGAGATATATCAATAAGTATTACCATATGTGGACCTTGTTTGTATCCTGATTTAAACAAATTGAAAATAAAAATAATTTAAAAATGTGACAGTTATAAAATTGAAAAACTGCACACCAATTAGATACTTATTAACTAAAAATTATTACTTAAATTGTTTTACGGTGACAAAATGATATGTGGTTATCTTTTTTAAAGAGACGTTAGCAGTTAAATATAACTACTAAACTTATTTTAAGTAAAGGAAAACCCCCTGGCGGTATACTTACATTATAAGCCACGTAGGTCCACTTTGACACTTTTACTGGAACCCACAGCGGCGTCACTAAGAGAAAGGAAATTCATTTGTTTAGCTTGTTTTTTATATTAAATAATTTCTTTTTATTAAGTACTGGTGAAGTATTTCTCAATCAGCAGTTTTGAAAAAGTGGTTTCCTGAAGATTGGCTATTTTAAATTAGAAACTCTAGTGAGAAAGTCCCTATGTGCTCATTACTAACTAGCATTCACGTCAAATAAAGCACTTTAAATCGACTTGGTGTCTTTAACTCTAAGGAAGTATCAACCAAAGAAAGTCAATATTTCATTTCCCAAACAAGACAAATAATTAAGTACGGTGTGACAGGTATTACATATAAAAGCAAAATTTACCAGCTAAAGATATGCCTGTTAATCCAAAAGAAGGTCGACGAAGAATGACTGATACTGAGAAACTAAGCACAGCATTTATTTTATGTGATTGTCAGGAGACCAGAGACACTGAATTTTATCTTTAAACATTTTCTACTTGTTATGCTATTTTCAGGACATTTTTTTTTTTTTACCAGCCACATCTTATAAATTGCTTTTCTACTTTTTCCCTTCCCTAACCAACAACCTCTTAAGAAACCATCTTAGAGACATGAATAAAATATAACAGGAATACAGTACCTGAAGTATCATATTTTCAAAGATTTTATCTGCTAATAACAAATTTACCTAAGAATCATAATTAAAGCTCTACTTAAAATTTAAAAATATTAAAACCACTAACCTGTTAAGTCGGAAATTATTGCTGGTTTTTCCTCGAAGTGTTTTGCTGGGTGTCTTATAAAGTGGTGATTCAAAACCGACAATTTCTTCTTGGGGTTTTGAGTGATCTAGAGAGAACATGGATGCATTCTGTACCCTTTCATGTCCTGGTGATAATTCAATGACACTTTGCTTACAGTAACAATGCTAAGAGCCAACAGTCACTTACTTCCTGTTCTACGTGCTTAACATGTTAGCGCTCTAGGAGATGATAACCTTCTTATCTGTATTTTAAATGTGAGGCAGTGAAAGCACAGGGAAATAAAGGTACGGCTAGGCTCAAGGTCACGCTCCCAAGGAGAGCTTGGACCAGTGCTCAAACCCAGCCCAGGCCGTCTGGCCCAGAGCCCACGCTTTGAACCATTATGCAATCCTGCTCTCCAACAACAGACGAGGATAAAACACATTAACAAGTACGGAACCGGAAGGGAACGCCAGGGGTCCTCCAGTCCAGTGAATCCAACCCACTAGCTTCCCAATGCAGACCAGCGCCAATCTCACAACACAGAAATCAAGTGGTCACTACAGAAAATACAACTGTTCTCCCTTGGAAATCCCTTCCACTCTGTTCTACCGACTCCCCCTAAATCAAAACATCCTATGTTTCATGAAACGAAAATGCAAGCAGACAACAGGATTTTTCCTGTTGTTTTAAAATATCCCAGCACAATAAAATGTCGGCAACTTTAGATGGGCCCCTCCCCTGAAGAAAATGGATTGGGGTATAAAATTCCTCTGGAATCCACCGCTATTCAATTCTCCAGCTAGGGCCCCGAGGCCCGTCAGGGAAGTGATTTTCTCAGCAACCACACAGTGACCGAATGATGAAGAAATGTCGGCGAGGACCCAGGTCTACTACATCTGCCCAGTCCCTAAGAAGGCACCCGGTGTTTGCTTTAACATTTCTAAACAGTCCTTTTCCAAATATTACATTCCAGTTGCAACAATTCTTACCAGGAGCGTGTCCTGCCCTGTTCAGAGCAAGTATCTGACTCCTTGGCGCTTTGATACATTAGGTTGGGGGACAGTCCTTCAGAAAATTAAAGGCTGTGATGTCCCTCATCCAAATGAAACATTTCTTCTACAGATTAAACAACTTCAAAAACATCAAGTGTCTTTCACAGAACTGCTTCAGATCCCTCTCCACTCTGCCTGCCTTCCTTCCCTGGATAAATTCAAGTTTGTTAATGTTCCTCCTTAAAATGGGATGTACAAAATAGAATATAATTCTCTCGGAATTTTATAACTAGAGTGGAGCAAAGTGGAATTTAACTTCATTGATGCAAACTCTATACGTCAATCAATTCAGTCTGATACAAAATTAGTTTTGATTTGTTTTTCTTTAAAGCAGCCACATCTGACTGCAATCAATGAAAGCCACAGGTCTTTCAACCAAAAATTCAGTTAAGTCATCTCTCCCATCCTTATTCTCCCTCTAGAAGATCCATCCACTCACGTTTTCAGTTCTGATGTTTATGCTGATGACCATCAAAAATGACACTAATTCTGATTCCTGGGACCTCATGTTTGGGGATGATAATGGCATGAGTTCTAGTTTCCCTGCTTTTTCTCCTAGATTACATAATTTCTGATTAGCAATCATATCCTAACATTTTAGTGTCTAACATGTAGTCCAGTCCATTATATATAATGAGTTTGTGAAACAGGACTGTTTCATAATATTTTGATTCTTAGCATTATTAGTTATCAAAAACTTCTCATTTGTCCTTAAAATGTGTCTATAATATACTTATCCTTACAGAATTATAATTTATTACGCACTAGTATTAGAGTTTTCTCATCTTAGAATTTAACGGAACACAAGATTTGATTTATTCAACTGTAGATCTTTGGACCCTATCAGAAAGGTAAAGATGCTTTCCAAAAAAAGTTAAACAAAAATGTCTAATAGGATAGATCATGAGATCTATAATACATTACTAAAAATGACAAAATAGCTAGTAATAAGTATTTCCCTTAATTAAAGCTAAAAGACTATATATAAAAATTTAAACAGTAAAGGAGAAGAACTGGGGGAAGGTTTAAGGAATCTGTCATTTTTCATTTTCATTGCATTCTTTAAAAACTTTTATTGAATTTACTTGGGGGGGGGGGATTGGTTAAAGATGACATATGTTTCAAGTGTACAATTCTACAATACATCTTCTGCATATAGTATTGTGTGCTCACCACCTAAAGTCAAGTCTCCTTCCATCACAATGTATCCCCCTCACCCTCTTCTACCTCTCCCACCCTCTTTTTCCTCCATTGCATTCTATTAATTATTATTAGTGGTCAAAGTATTATCAGATAAAAATAGAAGTATTCCCATTTTGAAAGTCATTATAAGTCATCATAAGGTGTAGGCTTCTAGTTGCATCGAAGTATAAAATGTATTAATTTCACCACTGCTGCAACCAAGCTCTCACTTTACTGAAATCATTGTTAGTTTAAGAATACATACTTGTTTAGTGTCAGCATCAATCAGATCAAAGAATGCTCTAACTGTAGTCAACTGCAACTGTTTACACCTGAAGAATAAGATGTGTTACAAAGGAAACTTTAAAAATATGCTTTTGATACAAACACACATAATTCCATTATTTAATCAAATATATGTGGTTCCTTTAGTGCTGTAAATGCTAAAATTATTTAAGAAATCATTATTACCAATTACATATCTTAAAGTTGAAACAATAAAAATGAAGCAAATTAAATCTTCCTGGATGTCTGACAGTAGACCTGTTTGGGTCCCTCCATCTCCCCTACATTTCCTTGTCTGCACAGCTACAGGTGTCCTCTACCCATGTTCACACGCCTGCACTGGCTGGTTCTTGCAGATGCCACTGACCACAGAGCTGGAGGAAGGTGAAAAAGAGGATCTTTAAGCCAAAAGACAGAGAGATAAGATCCTAGGGTCTAGGACTAGGTCAAGCATGTGAAACTCAACATGGGGCCCACAACGAATATTTTTGCGGCCCAGCCAATGTAACGGTATGTGAGAAGCGTTTTAACAGGATTTTTACAATATCCTGTTATACATAATTATCAATAACGAACTACAACGTCCGCTAATGACTGATTACTATAATTGTGTTGCATTCATTTCCCTTATGCGCCTTACATGCAGGCGCACCATTTCTCTCCACTAATACTAACAGCGAATATTCTAGCAGCTGAAGGCCACGTCATTAGTCTTGTACTGACTTGTTTGGTGTGCGCAACAGGAAATATTTCGCTTTTGGATAACAAGAAAAATAGGTTTATTTGTGTTATGCTTATTAATTTGTGCAGTTATTCAGCGTCTGGTAAGTTAATGTTCAAGAAAAGATATTAATTTTCATTAAAATTTTCTATTATTTTATGTTAATGATGACTCATTTATTTCAGCCCTTTATAATCAGTATGTCTCTATCGAAATAAACCTACGTTTCTATAAAAATTGAAGCTTTTGTTTTTTTGCGGCCCACATACACTTATACCTTGTTTATTTGGCCCGTGTTAGCCCTTGAGTTTGACATGCGTGGTCTAGGTATTTCTTGATCTATATTTAATCTCTTTCTTTATTATGTTAAGGGTAAATCTAATTCCTACTTGGTGTTCTATGTGCTACTCTAGAATAACCAATGCTTCATCCATCAAGTCCCTGAGTTTGGTGACTGCCTGAGACCTCCGATGTCCTACAAGTACCTTTGATTCTGCCCAAATATGACAAACTAAAATTTTGATATTTGACGCTAGTTTCATTTGAGACTGATGCTACTGGTTCTGAGATGATGACCTCAGTTGTCAAGGAAACCCTGGTCACACTGAGACAAGAGCCAAGTTTAGAGTTCTAAGCCCCTAAATTAACCTGTCTCCCAAATCTATGAATAAAGCTCTAAGAACGTTAACAAACTAATCAATGCACCGCTGAGAAAAGAGGACCACCACAAGCCATCAGAGTAAGGTACACGACATACCACACAATGGAGAGGTGATCTGTGGAGACCCAGGTCTTAGGTACTGCTGAGCTCTGAAAGGAAAGAAACAAACAAAAAAAATCAAACTTAAGAAAAGCACATTCCTTATCCTCCAAAAGGCTTGAGATTCTTACAAGCTTATATTTAGAAACATGTAGCATTAGTTTCACTATGTTATGATACACAGACATTTTTAAATGATGCATTCTTTGTAAAAGATGATCCAAAAATATTAAGTTATTTCCTGCATAAAATAATTCTGTCATTACTGCTTAGTCACACTTACATTATCCTTTAAAAATTATTAAAGCACCCAGATTTCCTTTCTGAGTTTAATGCTTCTTTTTTACTCTAACAAGAGGCCGAGTTTATGATTCTTTAAAAATCCTAGTTTATGGGTAAATTACAATAGATATTTTAGTAATTTTAGCTCTGACTAGATTATCACTTGGTAAAGTCTAAGATGTTACTTCTTAATCAGAGTGTGCCTGAGAAATGCTTAAGCCTGGAGAGGTTTTCCAAAAGACATATTCTGATCACAGTATCAGAACTACCCAATCAGACTCTCTCACAAGTGGGGTCCAGGCCTACTTATATTGAAAAATTCACTAGCTGAATTTTTACTAATTAGAGACACAAGGGCAAAGGCTTCTAAAAATGTACTATTTGCAGGCTTTCTGACAATGCCATAACACCCTCCAATCAGGCTCTGAAGTGGGAGGAACCTATAGCTTACTTGTTGAACCTAATAAAACATTAGGTATCTTACTCAGGAATTACTGCTGGCAGCTTATGTAACACGTTAAGACAACCAGAGTTCACTGTAGTTCTAGGATGATGCTAGGTGCTCAGCTGAGTAAGAACTCACAGTAGATAACACTTAGCACTCCCCAAAACATACAACGGGCTCTCAAACTTCAGTCATTTTTCTAGCCCCGGTGGATGTAAATGTCACTTAACCGTTCTTGAGATAATCATTAAAACACTGTTATGTCTTCATAATTTTTTTTAAGTGAACATACTTTAAAACGTGAAAGACCTTAGACTATTTGGGAGCTAAAAAAACTAAAGCGAACTCAAGTAATAAAAAAACCAGCTTTGAGAAAACTCTCTAAGAGGTAAAATATTTTCATCAGAAATACAAGCTGCCTTGAAGACAATACATTATTAAATGGGTTAGAAAACAGGGACACACACACACACGCACACACACACACAGTTGAAAAGACGAAAGTTCTTTCAAAAATAAGCTGCAGGATGTGCTATCAATACAGCACCATGGGCCAGACCAAGCCCAGGAAATAAGCTACATGATATGACTGACGACTACATATGTGTTTTACAGAGTTGACATTTAATCTTTTGAGGGATTCCAGCAAATATCTGCCCAAAACATTCAACATCGAAATAAGATTCGTACCAATAATGAGGTTTGAGAGATTTACCAATTTTGTTCCAAAGCTACTATGGCTAAACCACAACTCCAGTTATAAGACCATGGTGGGTGAGAGCAGCTGAGCTTAATGACTTCTGTTCTAGGTATGGCAGGCATTCAGTAAATCCTGCTTCATGAACGCACAGCAATCTAAGGTAGAGCAAAGGGGGTCTCCAAAGGGAACAGCCATGAAACAAAGCACCAGCTCCTCCAAAGCAAAAGGAACTATGGATGTTTGTAGAAACTAAGTTCTAATTGAAGATACCATATATATGTGTATATATATATATATATATATATATACACACACACATATACATATATTGAATTTAAAAAGTTAAGATCTTAACTAAAGACTTTAAGGTTTAAAAATACAAGAAATAATGTTAAGTCCTAAAAGGAAACTTGAACTCACTTTACAGAGGCTACGTGTCCCAGTTAAAGACCATACACTGGATGTCCTAGCAGGGAAGAATAATCAGCAAATGAATCAATCAGGGTTATGTTTACACTCAAAGCTAATTTTTTAATTTTAGAATGGGCAAAACTTCATTCAAGCTTAGCAATCCAGAGTATGTGATATGTTTACTATTCCACTACCACCGCAGACAGCATAGCACTCATATAACAGAGGCCCTGGGACATCAGTCCCCACTTCCTTAAACTTACAACTCTCATCAATGAATGGGCTCTTATTTTGAACAAGATGCAATTATTTCTCATAAATAAGCGTTCTTTTCATAAAGTCTCTAAGGTCACTTTTAGTTTCTGTGGACACAGGCATCCATGCCTCTGCCTTCCCAACATGTCATATTTATCCATTCATCTTCTCTGCCTCTCTCTCTCTCTCTCTCTCTTTCCCTCCCTCCCTCCCTCTCCCTCTCTCTCTCTCACGCACACGCGGACACACACACACACACACGCACACGCACACGCACACACACGAGCACCATGGCAGCACTACGCCAACCCAACAGTCATTTCCAAGCAGCAACATGTTACTTCTCCATTCATGCCCCACTGTGTTCACCATGCCACTATTTCAGTAGAGTCTTTAAAAAAGATTACCACAACAGATAAGGCACTGGTATGATGGCTTAGTTTTGGTAGAAAAGTCAGTCCGGAACGAACTTGGTAATCCCGGAATCCTCCAGCTACAGAAAGCGTGGTTAAATTTATGTGTCTAGCATTTAGAATCCAATAGTTGTTTACAGTCATATAAAAATCTGGTAGGAAAAAAGACACATTAAAAATTAGTGGCCATTCCCTGCAACAAGATACACTGTTATATTCATTATATATCTATAATATTAATATTAAACAGAACTTCTAAGCCATCTGAACTATAAATAAAAGTTTTACCACAATTAAGATAATGCATATTTTTATAGGGTAAGAAGTGGAGTCAATTTACTGATCGGGAAAAGAATGATTTCTTCCTAAATATTTTCTTCTATTCTCATAAAATTGCAACAAGCAGTGAAGATACTATTTGACTTTAATAAAAAGTTGAAACGGGCATTTAATTCTTATCCTGTGACACTATTTGATTACATGACAGCAAGCATAAACTCGTACTGTTCATTTAAAATTCCCTGCAACATTATAGCATTATCCATAATTTTATTTCTTCTATTATAGCAGGGTACCTAAATTAAAAAGCAGTATCTTCTCTAATAATAAAAGTGTAATATGTTAATTAGACTGGGCAGCCGAACTACCTTCTGGATGAAGCCAGGGCTGCGAGGGCCAAGCCCCTTGCGCGAATTCCGTGCACCGGGCCTCTAGTAGCATATAAGAGTTAAGAGCACAGGGCCAGGAACAAGTTTACCAGGGTCAAGTACTAGCTCCACTATTTTCTTGCCACATAACTTTGGGCAAAAACTTTATCTTGGACTTTTTTTTTTTCTTCTATCCATAAACATGGGGATAACAATGGTCCTACCTCAAAGGACTCTAAGGATTAAGTGACATAATAACACATCAGGTAAAGTCTTTAACACAATACCCAAACCATAGTAAGAGCTCAATAAATATTCGCAATTCTACCTCACCGCATGCAGTGTTAGCAGAACTCTTTGTTGAAAAACAAGACATTCCTAGTATTTTACTTAAAAATAAGCTTATTTTGAATAGAGTCCTGGCAACTTAACAAAACACAGAAGTTTATTTTTTTTCTTTTTTAATATATTTTATTGATTTTTTACAGAGAGGAAGGGAGAGGGATAGAGAGTTAGAAACATTGATGAGAGAGAAACATCGACCAGCTGCCTCCTGCACACCCCCCACTGGGGATGTGCCCGCAACCAAGGTACATGCCCTTGACCGGAATCGAACTTGGGACCTTGAGTCCGCAGGCTGACGCTCTATTCACTGAGCCAAACCAGTTAGGGCAAAACACAGAAGTCTAAACAAACTTTAAGAGCCAGGTAGTCATCCTCAAGAATAACTGAGCGGAAGCCTACGTGCCCGGGGACGACCAGACCTGCCGTCACGTTAAGGTGCCATCGACAGAGAGTTTCAACGATGAGCCAAAGCTGAAAGTCATAGAGAGGCAGAGGTGGAGGTGATCTGCAACAGCTGCTTCCACATGGATGCACCGGTAGCGCTCTCTAAAGGGAGCAGCTGCAAGGATTCGTGTTCATCTAAAGGCCAGTCAGTGTTTATGTAACAGCACTCACCTGTAATGAACCGGTCTAAGGGCATCACGGGAGCCACATGAGGGGTGGCTTGTGTAATAAGAAGATTCAGCAGATCTTGTTTAAAATTTTTCAGTGTAAGCAATGCCCTTGCAACAAGGCCACCCATAGAATGACCAATTATTGCCACACTTTTTGGAGCAAATTCTTGACCCTATTTAAAAAAAAAATAACCAACACATAATTAACAGTATCATAAAGACAATACTAAATACTTCTCTCTAAATATGAGCAATTTTATAGAAAAAACTAGAGGCCTGGCACACGGATACATGCACAGGTGGGATCCCTCAGCCTGGCCTGCGCCCTCTCGCAATCTGGGACCCCTTGAGGGATGTTGGACTGCCAGTTTTGGCCTGGTCCCCGCAGGCAAGGCTGAGGGACCCCACTGGTGCACGAATTCGTGCACAGGACCTCTAGTATGCATATAAGATCTTTGGTTAATCTCTTCCCCTGCTCCCACCTCTCCCTTCTCTCTAAGATTCATCAGTCTGTTCCATGTTTCCATGCCTGTGTGTTGAGTGTCTGCCCCCTGGTGGTTAGTGCATGTCATAGCTACCAGTCGAACAGTCAAAAGGTTGCTTAGGCTTAAACTATTTATCTAACCTCCTATCATAAGATACAGAAACACATTTTCATATAATTAGTGTGTACATACTATTTTGTGTTCTGCCAAACCTTTTTTAAAAATATTTTTTTCTTTATTGATTTTTTTACAGAGAGGAAGAGAGAGGGATAGAGAGTTAGAAACATCGATGAGAGAGAAACACTGATCAGTTGCCTCCTGCACACCTTCTACTAGGGATGTGCCCACAACCAAGGTACATGCCCTTGACTGGACTCGAACCTAGGACCTTTCAGTCTGCAGGCCGACGTTCTAGCCACTGAGCCAAACTGGTCAGAGCTGTCAAACATTTTTAATAGCCATGCTTTGAATTTCTGAACCAAAATCAGAAAACTTGGGTCTAGCAAATCATGTTTCATTATTTGTTATATTGGATGTAAGAGTTGTAATTATATTTGGTGCATACCACAATATTAGATTTTATAGGGTCATTTATTAAAAATTAGAAATACCACAGAAAAGCTAGAAAAATTATGGTTGTCATAGCAATATACTACCACATCATATTGACACACCTCATCAAATCATTTCCCTATTATGCACCTGGGTTTAAAATAAACCAATGTTCCATAACATTTATTCACTGACATATTTTATTTCTTAAATAAGTAGCCTATATAATAAAACCCTAATATGCAAATTGACTGAATATCAGAATGACCCATCACTGTGATGTGCATTTATCACCGGGGGCAGACGCTCAATGCAGGAGCTGCCCCAGACCAGGGGGAGCTCCTACATTTAGTGTCTGCCCCCCGAGAGGGAGGCGACCAGAGGTGGTGGGGGGCAGGGCCGCCAGCCAAGGTGGGTGCCAGCAGATGGCCCTGATTGCTGGCCAGGCCTAGGGACCCTACCCTATATATTGGGAACAGTATTTTAGATTTAAAAATTAAAACCTGACAGGGCTGCTCTAACACTGAAAAAACAGGATGACATGCATGGACTCTGGCTTGCACATTTGGTGGTCAGCCCTGATTCTGACACTTATAACTGTGTGACAAAGCCAATTACTTAACTTCTCTCTGCTTCAGTTTTTCCACCTATAAGATGGGAAAATGGTACTACTGCCTCAGAAGGATCATGCTATGTGCTACTTTTTATAGTCAGGGCAAAAAATGTAGCTGCCCATACAACAGCAAGATGCCTTTCACCTGTGTGAAAAGTATGGTCACTGGTGCATGCAGCATCTCGGACTGCGAGAGGGATGTCGACTGCCAGTTTAGGTCCAACATCCCCCTAGGGGTCCCGGATTGCAAGAGGATGCAGGCTGGGCTAAGGGACACCCTCCCCCCACCCTGTGCACGACTTTCGTGCACCAGGCCTCTAGTCGCATTTAAAAAAATTTCTTCTGTCTCCACACAGTATCCTCAGTTCTACGACCAAACCTTTGCTCATCTTCCTCCATACCAATCCTTCATCTATGCCTTCTCTCCTGTTCATCTGAATAAGTGGGCCTTGTGCAGAAAACGGCTAACACAGTAGGCCTGAAACTGCTATCCTTAGAATGGACGGCATTAAGTTTGGCTCTGCTCTGCAATCTGGGACCTTAGATTCTGGGAGGTTCCCATCATTCCCTAAATGACAAAAATGACCACTATGCCAAAACTGTGCAAACAATAACCTTCATGCTGATCACTACTGCCCTCTGGGTGGGGTTTTGGTACATGGTGGGCATAGGGTGTTTATATAACCAGCCCCCAAATAAAACTCTTGAGCAATGAATCTCTATTGAGCTGCTCTCAGAGACAACATCCTCAGCCATGTGCTTCCTGGGGTCACCTGAATGCCCAATGTATTCAATAGGTCTTTCCGCTCTAGCTGGTCAGAACTCCTATTCCCACACCAGGTGGCCTCTGAAATCTCAATTCAGCTCACGATTCCCCAGCAGCTGTTTCCTGCCAGGACTTGTGCTGGGGCACACCAAGGGAAGAAGTGGCTCTCCCAGGTACATAGCTGTATTTTACCTCTGACACTGTTTAGAACTGCTGGCACAGAATGAGTGTCAGCCTGTTTTACTGCTCCTTTAAACTGCCCCTTAGGTGGACACACCCTATCGCTTCCTCCTTGGTATGCCACTGCCTGGTACTACTTCCTGACCTGTGCATACACAGCGTAGCATTCAGAGACCGAAAAAGGCAAATTTCTAGAGCGCCTATCTCTGCCTAATTTTCTTCTTTCCCACAACGCTGATCAGAAATCTCACCAATTTTTCAGTAGCCCCCAAATTCCAGTCTCTGCCTTCTTTGGCTCGGCGATACCATGTGCTGGTTTGATCGCCACCTGCTTGCCCTGCGACCTAGAAAATGTTTCCAGGCAGAAAGCCAGAGCAGTTATGGAACTCGCTTCACACGGTACCTTTCTTTCAGAGATCATAGTCCTTTACTGCTTGTGGTTGTCCAACACCTGAAAGCACGTACTTCAGCTATCTTGACTAGCTTTAGAGTTTGGTTACATGAGGAAGTGGTCTTCCTAGTAACAGCTGTACAGTCATAACTAGAAACAGAAACTCATACTAAGGGTCTCTGGAAATACTACCCTGCACTCCTCATTTATAATAGTTAAAAGAATTTCCCCCCTATGTTCACAGGAAAGGCTTCTTGTCAATTCAATTTAAACTTTAAAAACCACCAATGAATTCAAAACCACCCACGAACATAAACAAATGATTTTAAATGTGCTGAGTGCCTCTGAAAAGGAAAGATGCTAGCAGGCTGATCACGACTGACTTGCGAGCTTCTCTCTTACCTTGTAGAGTTTGAGAATTGCTTTAATGCACTCATGCACGAACTTGGTCTGCTTCTGCAGGCTTCCCCCATACAGTGCCACCAGCTCTTCGTTGAAGTTCACACTAAAGAAGTCGAAGTGGTACTTGAAGTCGATGTCTTCTGCTTTCCTCAGTGCAATGGAGCCGATGGACCGCACTGCACAGGGAAGGGGTAAAGGGCACATTAAACAAGGATTTTTGTGCTATAATAACGGTTTTGGAGTTTTTCGAGCTTCTGTCTCTTCTGTGGAGCTTAAGGCGAGTGTGAGTGACACCGTGCTCAGGCCCTTTAAGAAGAGCAGCCTTCCGTCTCACCTGAACTGAGTCCCTGATGATTTTCACAGCGAGGGACTGTGGGGACTCTTTGTGGCACTGGTGCTCCAGGCAGGGGAGCCTGGAGTGGGGCTGGGACCCCCTGCTCCTCCTCAGGGGGGACATCTGCAGCTGAGCTACTCCTCCTCATTCTTAACTGCCACACATGGGTGTGGGACAAGCCCCTTTCGAATCTCTGCCCCTTCTACCAGTCTCAATGTGGCTTCTTCTCTACATCCTCGTCATAGGAGTTCTGTTCAGCTAGTCTTCAGGTGGCTCTAAGGGTGGTGGCTCTATAATTCAGCTGTAATTCTGATGTGGCCATGAGAGGAGGCAAGCACATCATTTACCTACTCGGCCATACTGACCAGAAGCTAGAGCTCTGTAACTTAAAGCTCTGAGAGAAAGAAACCTGTCTCCTCTCTTGTTCAACATCACAGAAACCAGATTTACTTTGCTAGCCAACGCTTCAGGTTCTGTGCTCTGCACCCTCCATTCCCAATGCAAGCTTCTTTCTTCTGCTAATTCCTGAAACCTGGTATCATCTATTTATCCCACCCACTCCATCCTCTTTTTCTCCTTCTTACGTTTTGCAGAGTGGTCGTCAACGTTCTTTTCTATGTATTTCTCACATCTGTTTTTCTAGACAAAATGTCCTACTTTTGTGTTTCCAGGATGCCCAGCAGAGGACTTAAACAGAATATGTATCTGTTACACTCTTCCACTGCATGTCACAGCTGTCAAAACTGACTTCCGAGACTTACCCTGCTTATAACTTCCAGCATTCCCGGGAAGAAAGAGAACGGGGATTCCCGTTAAAGGGAGGATTTTGTGTTCTTCAGCGTAGGATCCTTCTCCATAAAGATATAATTCATACGAAGGGTAGCGTTTTGCCAGTTTCTTTGGAAGTTCTATTTTCTACAGCAAAAATAACAAATAAATGAAATGAAAAATGCAATTTTACTTTAAAGCCAACTTTATTAATATAATTCAGCCACACCATACCGAATTCTGAATTACACAAATAGTGCAATATAAAAATATTACTGATGATAAAACTGAACTTAATGCACATGACAAACTTTAGTTTATTCATATGGAGAATTAGTCTTGAATTATATGGGTTCTGAGCCATGTGGTCTTCGGGAAATCATAAAATAGGACTATCTTAAATTCTAATGAAGATAAATTACTCAAAATAGCCACTGACAACAGAAAAACACTGGTAGATGTCAGCAAGTTACAGGTTAACATAATTGAAAATGCATTTAATTTAGTATCAGTGTCAATTATTCTTAAACTTAGAAATGATGAAAGCCTCCCATTGCCAAATCAATTCTCTTTCGCTACTTTAAACTGTATTGTGATGTCTCCTTTTACTCCGGCCCAACTACGTATTCTGGCTGTTACACCATTCCACAGAAAGCAAGTTTGTTTTATATAGTGCAGCTTCCTGACCTCTCCACTTCATATGCTTTGATCTACCACGTGCTTAACAAATTAATCTGAACCTTATAGCTATGTCTCGGTCAAGACACGCACTCTCCTCGCACCATAAACATTCCAATGAATTAGCATCGGTTTCGGTTTTCGCAAGCCAGGTGCATGGGTTGTCAGCAAGTGCTGACCTACTCCGCAGTTCATATAATCGCATACCAAATGAGCCAGTAATTCACATAACATTTCCCCCCACAAAATATAAATTAGGTCTTAATGTCATCCCCCAAAGCTAGGCACCTATAAAAGTGGTAGTAAAGTGTAAACTCTTCTTCTGCTCCTTTTTTCAAGGAAAGAAACCATTAGAAACGAAACCATTTACTTTGAACACTAGATTTTATGTAGGTGACAAAAACAGATTTAATGATCTAGCAATGCTACACATATACTTGATAAAAACTTCAACTACTGAATGGACTTTTGAAACTAAATGATAATGACCGCTGTAAAAAACTAGAATTCTGATTATTCACACACACTCCTGAAGAGTCCTTCGAGGATATTACCATACACACCCTGTGCCAACAACATCATGAAAACATCTTTAGAGAGAGTGAGCTTACTAGATAAGATACCAGCAACTTTTTATCTCCTCACATATCCAAAATATAGAAGTACAAACCCCATACAGAAGTACATGCTTAAATATGTACATGTACTTTAACTCAAATTAGTTCCGATACTGACTACGCACTGTACGTAATAAAAAATGGCATAATGTACTTTTTCTTTAGGTACAAATTAAGCAAAAAGAAAACGTGAGAGACCCCTCCCAATTTAGTGAACCATTTGATAGAATAGTCGTATGTGCATATGAGACCATTATTCTTTTTAGGTCAGTAGCTAAACAAAGTTTTTTTGCGTGCTGTGGGGTTTTTTTAAAAATATTTTTTTATTGATTTCAGAGAGGGAGAGAGATAGAAACATCAATGATGAGAGAGAATCATTAATCAGCTGCCTCTTGCATGCCCCACACTGGGGACCGAGAACAAAACCCAGGTATGTGCCCTGACATAATCAAACTGTCACCTCCTGGTTCATAGGTCAGTGCTCAACCACTGAGCCATGCTTGCTGGGCTAAACAAAGTTTTTAACTAGCTGGAATTTAACTCAGAAAGCTATCAAATATACAAAAGAAATATTTAATTCCCTGGAGACAGATAAACAAGCAGGAGGCTCTATTTGATATATTTCATAATATATTATTATGAAAGCAATTTTGTAGTGAGAAAGAGTACATTTTTAAAAAATACGAATGTATACAATATGGAGTAGCAAAAAGTAGAAATGGAAAAAAGGAGATAGAACTACAACAAAAAAATGGGAGTTGTAGGCAAATGACAAAACTGCATTTTCAGACAGAGTTCAAGTTGGGAGTGAGGGGCATGAAAAAATGGGAGGGGTACTGACCAGACTGAGGACAGGAAAGGAACAGGCATACAAAAAGGATGGTGACAAAAAAGAAACAGAAGAGAGATTTGAAAACACATATAGCAACAGGACTCCAATCGACGTTAAACTGATTGTTTTATAGAGCGTATATTCAATGAGCACCCCTACCCCCAAAAAAGGCCTCTAATGAAGACTGATGGCTTTTCCCGTAAGTAGTATCTCCACAACGCCGCCCTGCTTCCATCCTCCCTTGACGCTGCCTTAGTGCAGGTTCTTATCTCTAATCCCGACCCCTTTCCAAAGACAAAGATTCTGCAAAATTTCCAAGGGCTAGAAAAATACTGATTTAAGAAACTAAAGTCTTTAGGTTAGGTTATATCTCTTTTAATTGTGATTTAAAACTGCAAAAAAAAAAAAAAAAAGTTCCACAATTAACCAAAAAGAAAAAAAAATGATCTTGATCCAAATGAATGCAGCTTTTAAGCTCTTACAAAGAGCTGGCCCTCAGCCCTTTGCCCACCTCACTGGTAAGAGGGCCCCAGAGGACTCCAGCTGATAAAAAAGACCCAGAGACAGCGTACTCTCTCAGGCGACTCTCTCTGCCATGATCTGCTTGCCACACTCCACCGTCCACACTGCTGTCAAGGAAGTACCTTGTTAAAACATACACCTGTGTGTTTCTTCACTGCATACAGAGATGATAAAGGCTTAAGAAAGAGGCCATTGAAACCTGGCCCTAGCTATTCTTATCTAATCTATAATAATAAAAGGGTAATATGCAAATCGACCAAACGGCCCAACAGCAGAACGACCGCCTGGACGACCAAGCTATGACATGCACTGGAGCCAGGCCAGCCAAGGCAGACTGGTCTGCCATCACCCCATGATCGCCCCACAGAGGTAGGCCCAGGTCACTGGCCAGCGGGGCAATCAATCAGGAGGGGGAGGAGAGGGCTCCGCAACTGCCCAAAGAGGGAGGCCCAGGCCACCCTCTGCAGGGCAATTGATCGGGGGTGGGGGTGGGGGGAGGGAGGAAGGGAACTCCATGGAACCGGGGAAGGTGTGGCGGCAGACATGGGCAGCGCCAGGCCAAGGCAGGCGGGTGGGGCCGCGAAGCTGGTGCCATGAAGCTGGCAGCTGGGGCTGCAAAGCCAGCAGCCGGGGGAAGGAAGGCCTGCCCTTGCACGAATTCTGTGCATCGGGCCTCTAGTTTTGTATAACTTACACTAGAGGCCCAGTGCATGAATTCATGCACAAGTGGGGTCTGGCTGGGGTGGATTGGGCCGGGCCTGTTGGGAGGAGGAGATGGTGGGAAGTTGGCCAGCAGGCCCGCCCCCTATTGGGGTGGGAGGGGCGATCAGGGGCAGGGCCTGCTAGGGGAAGGGACAGTTTGCTGGACGCAGTGGGTATCATAGCGACCGGTCATTCTGGTCATTACGGGATTCTGGTCGCTAGCTTTTAATATATATAGATAGATATGCCAGGTTTGTTGTTGGTTGTTGTTAAACCTCACCCGAGGATATTTTTCCATTGATTTTTAGAGAGGAAGGGAGAGGGAGAGACAGAGAGAAACATTGATGTAAGAGAGACACATTGATTGATTGCCTCCTACATGACCCCCAACCAGGGCCAGGGAACCTGCAACCAAGATACATGCCCCTGACCAGAATGGAGCCCAGGACCCTTCAGTCCGCAGGCTGATGCTCTATCCACTGAGCCAAACCAGCTAGGGCGATATGCCAGGTTTTAAAATCTATTTTTAATATGTTTCAAAATTCAAGATTCAATAGGCTATACATTGAATAGGCTCTCTCATACCCATGGTCCTTTAGCCTTCAGTTTCCTACCAGGAAGGCAACTAAGGTTTGCAGTTTGTGTTTCCAGGAATACTTTACACATATACATACAAGAAAACATGTTCATGGGTTTTTCTCCTTTTCACATACGACACATACTGCTTAGGCAGTGTTCATTCACAAACGCTCTTCTTTACTCCCGCAATTTTCTTGTTTCTGCACCTTATGAACTGTGTACCTTCCACGGCCCAATTCACTACCTCTTTTCTGTGGCCTTTGACTACCAACATGAACCTGAATGCTCCCCTCTGAAGAGCCCTGGACACACGCTCTTACAGTGAAATTATAACATGTAGCACATTTCAACTATCCATTACATTCCTGCTTTCCCCCATTGTATTATAAAGAATAAATTAAAGGCACCAAGGTCTGATTCAGGTAATTATACCCAGTATCTAAAATATGCCTGACACAGTCATTCAATAAATGATTTGCTAAAGAATATGCAAAGGGCAGTAAAACAGGAAGAAAGGCGTGAAGAAAAAGAAGAAAACCAATAATTAGGACATCTCATCGAATGGATAGCAATTTGTGAACGATTAGTGCGTTCGCTGTAAAATATCATGAAAAGCAAGCAACATATAAAATAAGTTTAGAACACTTTTATTCATTAAAAAACATATGTCTCTTAATGAAATGACCTCAGTTAACCAGAAATCTCACTGTACTCAAAAGGATTCATTTCTACAGGCAGGTTTTAACTTAATTTGTAAAATAGCCCAACCTGGTGTGCACAACAAAGGGACTAAGGTGCAAATATAAATAGCACTGTAGAGAATTAATGCAGCTTCTTACATAATAAAAATAAAACTCTACCCAAAAAATGTGGATCCAGAACTCCTGCCACTATACTTAACATCATTAACAGAATGTAAAACCTCGAAAGGGCGATTTGAATCAAAATCAGTAAATACAGACACAATAACAGAAAGAAAGCCAAGCAGCTCTTTTGCATCAGCCACACTAGTTTTCGGTGTCTTGCCAGTCAATTTTACGAGGCACGAAATACAACTGTGAGGTCCATATGCTTTGTTCCCAACACTAAGCAATTCTACTACTGTAAACATTAAAATAGCTTCAGTAATTGTGAGCAATCTAAAAATAAATGGGAATTAGCACACTGCTTCACAATAATTTTATTTTAACCAAACTCTTCAAGGCAGTACAAACCTAAGTTGACCTACTTCAATCTATTGGGAGTTTCCTACTTATTAAATCACATAAAAATCAAAGGCGATTATGAGGGCTCTATCTTCACTTTTAAAAAAATCTAAACTAGAAGCCCAACTACTGAACTATATACAGGCTCTGATAAAAAAAAAACCCAGCATATTCGCTTAGAAATTAAGAGACAACAGTAACGTTATCATTTCCTTCAGTAGCATCTGATGTCACACCCCCTTATAAGCACGGATGCAGAACGAAGGTAAGAATCTCAAAACAAATGAAATCTAAACTAGAACTTTGCCCATGGGAAAGGAAGCTCGCCAGCAGTTGAAACCTTAAGCAGTTTTAACATCTGAATAATAGCAGCATAATCAAATATCTCCTGCATAATGATCTGTACACAGAAGTAACCACGATCGGCATACTTCGCCTTAAAGAAAAAAAAATCTGCTATGGTTTTAAAAGTATGCTACCAATGCATTTTATCAATATGTATTATATATATATATATATATATATATATATATACACATACATACACACACACATCTTCGAGGAGGCGGCTATTATGAATTCCTTAATTAGGAGACGCGTTTAGAAATAAAAGAATCACTCGTGGGGGAATGTCTTCGGGCAGTTCTGTCCTCAGTCACAGCCTCTTACAGAAGCTCATGAGTGAAATTCCCCCGTCTCCCGCGCTGAGCTGCTAAGCGATCGAGGCTGAAAATGTTCAAAACGGAACGGAAGAGGTGGGGGCGGACGGAGAGGGAGAGAAGGGCCCATCTCTCTTAAAGAGCAAACACGGTGAGAGAGAGAAACAAACAAACATGAGAGAGATCTGGAACGCCATCGGTAAGAGGCGGCACGCATGAACGCAGGCGTGCATGCACACGCACAGACCCGCAGGGCAGGAGGCTCCGCAAAACCCGCGCAGGCGGGAACCCCGACAGTTTCCCATGCATGTGCTCGTCGGTGAGCCTTGCACCCGGAGGCGAACCCGGAGCCCCCGAGGCCGCCCCGGGAACCGTGCAGCCACTGCCCGCCCCGCAGGAGCGCGGTCCCTTCCAGAAAAGCGCGAGCTGCCACGCACACCCCTGGGCGCGCGGGGCACCATGTAGGCGCGCGGGAGCAAAGGCGGGTCGGGGCACCTGTGGGGGCAGGAACGCGGGGGAGACGCGGTTGGGACGCAGGCAGAGGGGCTGAGAATGGCGGGGGGTGGGCCGGACCCGCCGGTGAAGCCCGTGCATGGCATCTGGGATCTGGAAGAGGACACCGGGGCGGGGAGCAGTTCCGCGCGGGGCAGCGAGGATGCTCGGGGAACCGAGGAAACACCCATCGTGGAGGAAGGACACAAAGGGCAGGCGAGGGAAGCGAGGGGGTCCCGCCGTCTCCGGGGCGGACAAGGCAGAGGCCGGGTGGGGAGCAGGGGGGCGCAGAGGCGCGGGGAGCCCGGGCAGAGGAAACCCGGGGACGCGCCGGGCGGGCGCGCCCAGGTGCGAGGGCGGCGCCTCACCTGGAACTCCGGGTACTCGAACATGTAGCTCATGCTGCACTTGTTCTCCTCGAAGCCGAAGAAGACGTCCCACAGCCCCAGGGTGGCCATGCCGACCATGAAGGCGTAAAACGCCAAGTTCCCGAGGTTGACGGAGTGCAGGAACATGGTGCCGCCGCCCGTGCCGCCGCCGCGGGGCACCCAGCCCGGCCCGCGCGCGCCCCGGACGCCTGGACGCTCCGCCGGAGCCGAGCCCAGCCCGCGCCGCGCGCGCCTGCGCGGACGCCGCCGGCCCGCGCCGCCCCCAGTGCGCCTGCGCGCCGCCCCCGCCGCCCGGCGCCGCCCGGGAGAGGAGGTGGAGATTGCAGCTGGAGCGCAAATCTGAGCGCGGCGGGAGAGCGCGCGGGCGGCGGGGCGGGCTGGGCTCGGGGGAGAGGGAGGAGAGGGGAGGGGCGAGGAGAGGGAAAGGCAGCGGGGGGCTGGGAAGGGCAGGGAGAGGCGGGCTGGATCGGGACCCGGGAAGGGGGGGAGGGGGTGATGGGGAGGGGCGATCGGGGGCAGGGGAGGGCTGGGGTGAGTGAGCCTGGAGAACCCGAAGCGTCGCTGATGCTGAGCTGACCGGCGAGGGGAGGGGGACCTCAGAGCCGAAACGTTGAAACACCTCTCCCTGCGCAGATTAAAAACCCTTCTCGTTCTTTTAATTTTATTTTTTGAAACGCCTCTGGCCTCCGCGATGTGGGTGCTCCCCGCGGCCCCGGCACCTTCGCAGCTCCCGGGACCCCGTAGCGGAGGCCCAAACAGATGGCTTTTCCGCTCTTGGACCGCCCGGCAGGGAACAGCGCACAAAAGCAGCGGCTTATGAAAAACCACCAGCAGGTCCCCAACTTTCAGTTCTTGGTATGAGAGGGAAAACTGCATCACAAAAACCGCCGCGAACCTGGAAACAGTGTTACCAAAACGTCCCTGAGCTCGAGGCGCCCCAACAGGTGTCTGCGGGACCAGCTGGACGCTGACCGCCTGGCCCCCAGTACCCCCGCCTCCTGGGAGGTTGGATGCACGTTCACGGAGGGAGGCGGTGGAGCTCAAGCATCGGCTCAGACTTCCTTCATTGTGTGACTTCATTCATTTTGAAGAATTGCGGTTTGGCTTTGCACAAAGGAGGGGGTAACAGCAGCTCAAACACCATCCATAATCGTGGAGAGCAGCGTCAAAACACTGGGATGTTAGGAGCAAAAACAAACCACCACAATATCACTCTTTAAAGCTGACCCAGAGCAGCTAGTGTGTGTGTGTGTGTGTGTGTGTGTGTGTGTGTCACTGCAAAATTCTTCTTAGGATTATTTTAGGCGCTGACTGAATTGCATTTCCCTCGGGCTGACTCCCTGGTACTTTTTTTCTGTGCAGAGGAAGTTGGGCTATTTTATGACACATAAAATCAAAGAATTTTAAAAACTAAAAGCCTATAGTTTATCTTATACAACACCCTGATATTCAGATTTGAGAGCACCTAGGATGCGGGGTGGGATGGGGGGGGGGGAGGCAGGGATGACAGATCATTTGGGGAAGGGGTAAGTTTTACATTAGGAAAAGGCATGCATTGCGTCTGGGCACTTGAGAACATCACAGAATGTCGGCCCATGTTTCTCCTGGCGTGCCCTGACCAGCACACATAAGCCGAGGGTGACTCGATCGCTCTCACCTCAGTGCTGCTTAAACTTCACGTGCCCGGGAATCAAGTGGAGGTTCTGTGTGCGAGCAGATTCCGGTTAAGTCCTGCCGGAGTGGGGTCCTGCCTTTCCGACAAGCTCCTAAGGGATGCCGGGATCTGGTCCGTGGATTACCCTGAGGGACAAGGGCCTCCCTGTCTGAGGACTCGGCCACATGGAGGAACCCCTAACCTGACGACAGAGCTTGCTTGCTCTTCTGGGAGCTTTCATGAGTGTGGCCACCTGCTGCCTTCATCGCCCCCCGACCCCCCTAGACAGGAGCAGGAGAGAGAGTCAATGGATTCTTCATGTTTGTCATCTTTGTGTTCCTACCTTTTAACTTTCCTTTTTCCTACCCAGCATTCTCCCCTCCTGGCTCTACTTCCTTTCATATCGAAACTGACCCTACTGAGCATCCCTTGCCACCAGCTACTAGTGCTGTCAACTTCCTGAACGCGTGCCTTTCGATCCCACTCGCTCTGCTCACCACCTTCCAGCCTCAGGTGAATGCGGCCTGGCTCTGAGCCCTGACACGCGTGTCCCTGAGCTCTGCTGGAGAAAAAGACAAAAATATTTGAGTTACTGTTCAGAAATATATGTGTTTGTGGTCAACTTTTCCATTCCCCAGACCACCTCTTTTCCGAAGCTCCCTACACTGCCTCTTCTTTTTCTGTTAGCAGATTATTAGTACATCCTTCTAGCTTCATGTTCATGCCACAGAGATTTTGATTTTCGGGTGCACATTCCTTCAACTTTTTTTTCTTAACGTATTTTTATTGATTTCAGAGAGGAAGGGAGAGGGAAAGAGAGAGAGAAACATCAATGATGAGAGAGGATCATTGATTGGCTGCCTCCTGCACGCCCCCTACTGGGGATCTAGCCCACAACCCAGGCATGTGTCCTTGAACGGAATCAAACCTGGGACCCTTCAGTCCACAGGATGATGCTCTATTTACGGAGCCAAACCAGCTAGGGCTCCTTCAACTCTTAATTGCCAAGTTTCTCGTCTCCATCCATCTTAATTCAGTCGGAACATCTAAAGCGCCGAGAGCAATGCCGGGCACCATTGGGACCTGCTGTTCTGAGAGGACATCAGGAGCTCACCCCTCTGCGTGTGCTCTCCCACTCTGTCCCCGCTCCCCTGAAGCATGTGCGTATGCTCAGGTCTTACTCATTTTTTAAAAAGAAAACTCCCCCCTGCAACTGCCACCCGTAGCTTTTGCCTTCTCATCGCAGTCAGGGTTCCTACAGGCGTGGCTTTTAAAGCTTAAATTAATGCCGCCTTTCATAATGGAGAAGGCCATGTAATCATTTGATAATCACCCCTCCACTGAAATACTTAGTAACTGCATTAATGTAACAGTTTTTCGGAAAACCTGTTAGGTTTGTTTAAGTCCCATTAGCTTTTTTTAAAAAAAATTATATTTATTGTTGAAAATATTACAAATGTCCCTTTTCCCCAACCATTGACCCCCTCCACCCGGCTCCTGCCCCCTCCGCAGACCTTCACTGCACTATTGTCTGTGTTCACGGGCTCTGCAAATACACATGGAAGCTCATTGGTTAATCTCTTCCCTCCCCCTCTCCCCTGAAGTTTATCAGTCTGTTGCATGCTTCTCTGCGTCTGGTTCTATTTGGTTCGTCAGTTTGTTTTGTTCACTAGATTGCACATATAAGTGCGATCATGTGATACTTGTCGTTCTCTGACTGGCTTTTGTTTGCTTGCTTTATTTACTGGAGGCAAAGACTGACTTTTCCACACGTGGTAACCTCCTTCATATTACCTATTTAAAAAACAACAACATGTTTTTATTGATTTTAGAGAGAGTGGAGGGTTGAGGGAGAGAGAGAAAGAAACATCCATCAGAGAGAACCATCAATTGGCTGCCTCCTGCACACCCCTCCTGGGGATCGAGCCTGCAACCTGGGCATGTGCCCTGACAAGAATCGAACCAGAGACCTCTCTGTGCATGGAGTGATGCCCAACCAGCTGAGGCACACCGGCCAGGGCTTACCTGGTTTTTGTACAGAGGAAGAAGCAATTGTACTGTCTAGTGTGGGAATTTAGCTGTTTTCTAAAATTAATTTTACTAAACTATACCGGTCACAATGTACTACCCTCACACTAGAGTTTTTAAAATAAACTTCATTTTTTTTCTTAAAAAAACCTATAAATATATAATAGATTGGCTATTAGAAACTAAAATTTATTTCAATCAATTGGTTTAAAGCCCTTTCTTAAATTTGTTGGTTTTACCTCCTACTGCCTTATATGAATAAGCATTGAATAAATATTTGTTTTTAATTTATTTAAAAATAAGTCAGAGTCTACAGATTATAGTCATAAAACCTCACCTTTTCTTTGATGCTTCAAAGCTAAAAAAAAAAAGAAGAAGAAGAAGAAGAAAGAAAGAAAGAAAGAAAGAAAATAATGCCAGCAATTCTGTGCCTGCCAGCTCTGTTTCCAAGGAAACAGAGAATAGATCATCAAAAACAAAATAAGGGTTTTTCAACCTGATTACCTTTTTTTCACCAGTTCAATCTCCTTTGCTGCAAAATGAAAGGCAACAGAACCTCAGCCTTACAATTTAGATTTTTGGTTGTGCTGTCTCACTATTAAAACCAGCCCGCCCCCCCATTAATATTTTGGATTATATGTTGGTTTTCTTGTAGAGACAGTGTTCACAAGGACCAAGAATACCTTTTAAATATAAAGCACTATGTACACTTGCTGAATAAGCTAATATATTTTTAACTTCAGAACTGTCCAATGTTTAAATTATTGAATCTCAGATTTGACATTTCTCTGGAATAATGTAAGAAAGTAATGGGAATATATAAGTAAAGGACAAAGACTTCCAGAATGAAGGGTTTTATTTAAAGAAGAAAGAGCAGCGACAGGTTGAAAAAAATATAGGTGTCAAGGGAAAAATAATTGGACTTCCTTCAATAAAACAAAATATCATTATAACATTGCTCTTTGTCTCCACGATAGATAAACGATTCTGAAAAATAACAGCGAGAGATCACAAAAGTTTGGGTTAGCTTCATTATATTATGTTTTATTTTATCATATATAATTATATTACCTAGTGGTGCTCTGTGTTTTATAAAAGCAATATTTTTTTTTTCAAATCAACATGTTTTATACCTTAAACTCATACAATATTATATGTCAACTATATCTCCATAAAGCTGGGAGGAAAAAAAAAGGCAGTAGTCCTCTATTTTAAAATTTTAGTTAAAGCCAGAGTGTTCTCTTTGGGGTGAAGTGCACAATAGAAATTTGTTTCAAGGGAAGTAGCGTTTAAGAGGCTTTAGAAGGCATATTAATACTTTCAGATAATGAATTCTGAAATCCAGGTAATTATTCTAATGGTAAAGAATGATGGATGTAATCATTGCTTGGGGTCTTCCCTGTCCGTTTTCTGCTTTTATGTCCATTTCCACCAAAGCGTTGTAGCTCTTCAAAGGCAGTGCTGTAAGAGGGTCTTGGTTAATTTTAATGCCTAACCCCGGTACAGGCCTTGTAAGCAGAGGTAGTCTATAAGTATTTTTGAATAAATATTTTTT